GACCACTACCTATCACAAGAATTTGGGTTACTAGAACTAGAGATAAACCAAGATCCTGCCAAACTCAAACAGAAGCCAGCGCCAGCATTCTATCAAATAGAGGACCTAGACAACATAAATGTGACCGCCTACAAAGAAACCGACCCTCACGTGCATGTAGGAAAAGAACAAGCTACTATTGCAACTCCCAGTCGACGCAAAACCCCTCTCAAGACCATGCCAAAAACAAGCACCACAACATATGCGATCACCATTGCTACATCTAGTACCACTACTACGCGAACAACACTGCGCCCCATTACAAAACCATCTATGCACATTCCACCCCACGTACATCGCAGCCCAGCAACTCCAGTGACACGACACCCTCCAAGCATAAAAATGACAACTTTTAAGGCCGTCACTACAACTTTGCGAACTACCCCTAGGAGACCAATCTTAACTTTAGAAGAATTAATTCCTCTACCCCCTTGGCAAACGGTCCACAGACAAACCAAGCGGACTAACCAGTATAGCCATCCTTTTGAATCAACAAACATCCGGAGCACTTTTAACAACGTATGCATAAGGCAATACTTGAACAACCAAAAAATTCACGAACTTAGTCGCGCCGACCCTACATGGGCTGCTCGAATTTTACTAGGAACTTCGGACGTAGTCGCTACACTCACTGACAATATACTTTTGGTCTCAAGATGCAGAAAAGTAGAACCGACAGAGGTATACTCAAACCATCAGGTGAATCAAACCTGTTACGATTTGCTACCAGTTATAATCGAAAATCAATTGTGGTTTGCTATACCCGGAACAGGGGACTTAGTTCACTCAGCCATCGAGACACCGTGCCCTTACATTACCAACCTTAACGGACAAGTACAGCCTCTGTTGCCGCCCAATATGATCGCGAACGAAAATGCGCAACCATTCCTTTTCAACCCTCCTCCCATTTATCATCATATAATGAAAAATTACGCGCCGACGATCAGATTCCAATTAGACAGGCTACAGCAAGAGCACCTCACTTTACAGAATAGATTACAAAAGCGAGGCATCATGGATGATGCTTTACTCAAAATCAAGGATGTAAAAAACACAATAGGTGACTCTCTGTCTGCGGTCTATGACAAAACCACCAACAAACTCACTGATGGCATAGAAAACATTAGGTGGTCCCTCATAGCGCTACTCTTATGGATTACGATACCGGCGCTAGCGGGAGTTATTCTCGTTGCAATATGTGTTTGCTGCGTAAAACTGTATTTTATAAGAAAAGCATCCAATACAGCAGCTTCAGCCATGTTCGAACTAGCCAGTAACTTTACGAACAAGAAACAGCTGCGTAATCGACCACAAGTCAATGCGCTTGATATAGAACTGCCTCATCAAGAACCTCTATTTATCCCCCGCATTTACGCGATAAATGCACCAGCTAGCCATGCAAGAAATCCACTACCATATGTAAGAATAACCTTGAATCACACTTCAGCCCCGGCCCTGATCGATAGTGGCGCCACAATCTCCTATATGAAACAATCCACTTTGCACGCATTGGGACCAGACATTAGGATAGAAAACAACCACGTAAAAGCACAAGCGGCTAATGGATCCCAAATAGAACTCCTAGCCTCAGTAATTGTAAACGTAGGTATAGGAACGCATGTCGTACCTCATCGATTCCTCGTGTCGCAAGATCACCAGTGTCCCGCGCCAGTTCTCCTCGGCACCGACTTCATCAAAAAGTTGAACCAGCTAGGCCTGAAAGTTACTATTGATTTACATAACAATCTACTCACGATAGGCAGTGACGCACATGATATGATCCAAATTAATGCCATTAACTTTGTAGAAGTAAAACCGCAGGACGTGCGTCTTTTGCATACTACTATTTTACCCAAAAGGTCCTCCTCAATTGTACCAGCTTTTATCGAAAACTACCCGCCTAACAGTCCATTCGATTTTATCATTGAAGATAACCAGAGAGACGTAGACCTTCTATACATTGTAGGCAGGTCATTGACTCGCCCATCTGTTGACGGAATATGCCTTATTACCATAATGAATCCTTCCTACACTGACATCAAACTATATGAAAGGATGAGAGTAGCATACGCAACACCCGTATCTTCACCAGTTGAACAGATACTGGCTATACAAGGCGAATATATTCCTCCTGAGGCAGATTGGGAAGATAAGATTCCCCATTTTCCTATTCCAACGCCAGGGAATTACGATATAGCCAGGGAAATAGACCTCAGTAAATCCGCCTTAACACCAGATCAAAAAGAACAGTTAACGACTATCATACGCCTTCATTCAAAAGCTTTTGTTGGACCAGATGGTCACTTAGGGCACTACAACGGACCGATTCGACATCGCATAGATCTCATAGACAACGCTCCAATACCAACCAGGAAAATCTACCGCGTGCCACTTGAGAAAAGAACCGAAATTGAACATCAAATAACGCAAATGTTAAAAGACGGAATCATCCGTGAGTCGGCTTCCCCATTCTGTGCCCCTATAGTCTTAGTCCGTAAACGGGATGCCACTTCATGGAGATTTACCATAGACTTTAGAGGACTTAACGCCATAACTAAGCCTCAACAATCGATCCTCCCTAACATCCAAGATATTATTGATCTGTGCGCGAACAGCTGCTTATACTCTTCACTTGATTTCCAACAAGGTTTCCACCAGATCCCTCTAGAAGAAACCCATTGCGAAAGAACAGCTTTTGCATGTTTCCTTGGAGCATTCGAGTATATACGAATGCCTATGGGGCTAAAAGGAGCCCCTGCAACTTTCCAAAGGATAATGGACGATTTCAAGAAACATCTAAGAGCCCGCGTCTTTATATATATCGATGATTTGATTATTACCTCCGAAACACCCGATGAACATCTTACAGACATTGACGAAGTTTTAACCAAAATAGAGCAAATTGGAATGAAGTTGAAAGCCTCAAAATGTGAATTCGCACGCAAGGAAATCAAGTTCTTAGGCTTCGTGCTCAGTAAAGACGGAATAAAACCGAACCCCGAAAAGACGAAAGCAATCGACAATTACCCCACTCCTAGAAGTCCCACCGACGTCAAAGCCTTCTTAGGTATGTGCTCCTTCTTTAGGAGATTTGTGCATAATTTCGCGGCTATAGCCTCCCCTCTAACCGCTTTAACCAAGAAAGATGCCCCTTTTATATGGACCCCAGAATGTGAAAACTCCATGAAATGTCTGAAATTAGCACTCACCACCGCTCCCATCCTTGTTGCTCCAAGATTGGGCCTTCCCTTCGTCATTGAGACGGACAGCTCTGGGAAGGCTGTTGCAGGTGTCCTGAAACAAGAACAGGATAGTACTCTGAAGGTAATTGCCTATGCTAGTCGAACTCTTAATATCCACGAATCCCGTTACCCAGCGATAGAATTAGAAGCGCTGGGAGTGGTCTTCGCAGTACAGAAATTCCGTCCGTACATTGACGGTGCGACTTGCACTGTGATTACTGACCACGCACCCCTCAAAGCACTTTTACACAGAAAAGATTTAACCGGTAGATTAGCGAAGTACCAAATCATTTTGCAAGAATTCGATATCACTATTGTCTATCGACCCGGTAAAGCTAATGTCGTTTGTGACACTCTCTCTAGACATCCGCCTCAAATAAACGCTACCCAAACACAAGATAGCATTGATATTGACTTATCTTCACCCGATATTATGGACCGCATAAGGGAAGAACAAAACAAAGCTCCCTGGATAGCCTCTTACAAACAAGCTATCGAGAACAACGAGCCTAATCCTTACGTTCGAGACTACATTGTTTTGAATGATATCCTTTACAAGCTACCAGAAAAGGTTTACCAAGATCCCCAAATCGTACTTCCAGAAGACTCTAACATTAAAAATGTACTTATCAAGCAAGTACATGAGTCACGCTTCGGCACCGCCCATTTAGGCATACAAAAAACCAAAGCCGCGATAAGTAGAATAGCAATTTGGAATAGAATGTCAAGTGATATTAGCGACTTTATTAGGTCGTGTACTATCTGCCAATTGCGGAAAGATCCCTCGGTCTACCGCACCAACGAGCCACTAGATCGTTTTGAAATACCTAGACGACCATTCCAGCGCCTACACTCAGACGTCATTGGCCCCCTACCGTTAACACTACAGGGAAATAAGTTCATCATTGTTTTTGTGGATGCATTCTCCAAGCTAATCATTGCCGAGCCCATACCTGACCAAAAGGCCACCACCACAGCAGATGTATTTATACATCGGATGGTAAGCCGCTTTGGTCCACCCGAAACCCTTGTTACGGATCAAGGCTCAAACTTTATGAGTGATGTCTTTCGCAACACGCTCAAGGTTTTAAACATATCTCACAAAACTAGCACTCCCTATCATCATGAAAGCAACGGCCAAGTAGAACGCGCAAACAAGACGATAGAGGAATTAATTTCCACCGCTGTCACCCAAAAGGAAGACCAATGGGATGACATCATCCACTTGATGACCCACGCTTATAATACCTCTGAAAACACTTCTACCAAATACACCCCATTCTTCATCATCCATGGCAGAGAAGCCAACAACGCCTTCCGCCTAGCATTACAATTGCCCTCCAAAACCTTCATCAGTGAAGAAGATTATGTTGAGCAACTGACATCCACTCTCCAAAACGTATGGAAAGAAGTGCAACATAATCTAATCACCTCCCAGGACATCCAGAAACACCACTACGATTTGAGGAAAAGAGTCAGTCCCAGTAACTTTCAAATAGGACAAAAAGTATTGATAAGAAAAGACGTAGAATCAAAAATCGCACCTAGGTTTGAGGGTCCCTTTCCAATCGTCGACATTGAGCGCCCGAACGTCACCGTTCAAGACGGGCGTCGCCTTCGCACGATCCATATGAACCGGTTGAAGCCTTACAATCCTGCAACTTGAGTAATACACAAACACATATTACAAGGTTAAACCTCGTTCATAATCAAACACAGTTTGGAAAAAAACTTTAATCGCATAAAATACAGCATAACAAAACGACGATAAAGGACTAGCTACAACAAGGAATCACAGAAAACTAGGAATGACTACTAGCACCATATAAATCAAAATGTAACACACAATTACATTGTACAAAAAAAAACTACACTATACACAACAATGACTAACTATACAACAAATATTTACAGGACAAGATATATACATATTCACAGCAACCCATTTACAAGAAAAAAAAACCTAGCCTCAAGCCGGCATCTCCCTCCTCTCCTCCCCTGCCGGTGGCCCAGGAGACGCCTCGCCACATCTTCTTGCCGCCTCGCGGAGTACGGCTCGAATGCCTCCATCAACGCATTCGCGGCATCGGCGTCTCCAAAAGCCGCAACAAACGGCTAGGAAGCTCATCAGTACGACGAGCGCTAAGAACATTATGTACATAATTTGCGAAAAAAAATGAAAAAAAAAACCAAAAAACTAAGAAAAAAAACCACAAATGAGTAAATACAGAACTCACCCACAACCAAAGCCGCAATTAACTCCCAATTTACCCTCTCGGCTTCTTCAGACGGCGTCGTCGTCGCACCATTACAACTAGCGGAAAAGTCGTCCGCCTCATAGCACACACACTTAAATTCTCCCGCGCCCAAACCGAAACAGACGCCTCTCTCATTGCAGCGCTCCGCACAAAAACTCCTATCCACAGACTCAGGCATCTGAAAATTTATGGCAGAAGAAAACATAACAAAAAAAAACAGCACAATTCACAATATAAAGTTAGGTTGCCACCAAAAAATGAAATGCATCACAACAAACATTCATTTACTAACATATTGCAAACCCGGCATAACAAAACCATCGGCCAACAGATTGGCACAAGCACAACAAAAAAAAACAGCATTACAAAAAGACTATAGGAAAGTAACAACAGCATTAACAACACAAACAATAAGGTAACAAGCTTCCATGCTTATCATGCCGTTACCTGCCCAAGTATATTACTCCAACAGCGATCACGGGCTTCCAGCGCCGAGTACGGCATGCACGAACAACGTGGCGAATAGATACAGCTAACGCCAACGTTGAAATCGCGAACGCTAAAAAAAAAATAAAATAAAGAAATAATTATAGGAAGAAAAGTAACACAAATAAACAAACAAAGCAAAAGAAAAACAGCAACAAAACATTACTTACCCGCAACCAGCGCAGCCCAGATTAAACAGTATATGTACAACTCTAGAGTAGTCGAGCGAAAAGTAGGAATAATAGCACCATCATAGAATACAGGACCATCTGGAAAAAAAAATCGATAAGATCATAAGAATTTACTATAACGGACATGAAGCAACACGTCAAGCTTCCGCACAGTCACATTATTGCGAAATCTGGAGATAACAGAGAAAACATGAGAACAGATTAGACCAACTAAATCTAATAAGGCAAAGATTTCGAGAATAGACGAGAACTTAGCGCAACAACAAAGAAAAAAGCTTGACATGCCATAACAGCGAATATATGAGCAAATGGGGGCCAAGACAATCACAGCGTTCAACATGACGCAACGATTTTGAATTGCGGCGTCACCCGCCGAAATCAATTAGGCCGCGGCGCGCGCAAAGCGCGCAGCGCACCCCCACATTAGAGCACCCATGCCATCAAACTATTCCGATGACATGTTAAACACGTCAAAACCATTAAAACGTAAACTACAAGCGTCCAACACTTTCAGATGTCAACCAACATGCTTCCCATCGTCTCGAAACGCTTCAATCGTCTGAGGTCCCGCTCTTCATCGTCATCCAGCTCCCGTCACACGCAACATTCACCTGTATCGCCTTACGCTCGTTCTTCTTCTTCTTCTTCTTCTTCCTCCCCATCTCCCTCCTTGACTCGCTCCCGTACTCGTACTCCTACTCCTCTTTCTGATGAAATCATGACTTCAAATGTAACATCTCCAAATAATATTTCTTCTTCTGAATTCCTTTTCGCTGTAACCGCAACACCTGAATCGAATTTTGTATCTAATACCGCTTCTTCTCCTTCCCAAGTTAACCAATCTATCATAGCCACAGACCCTCCGGAAGGAACCACTTCTTCCACAATAGCCATCCACATGCCAGAACCAGCCTCTGAAAGCTTTTCTCGCCGTAGAAGGCTTCTCACTACACCCAAACCTCCCCTCAGGAGGACTTCACGCACTCCTGCACAATCACAACCACGCCATTGGGAAAAACCTCGCGGAGCTATCCCAAGCTTAATCAAACTATGTCGTTCTCCCAGATTCCCGGAGCCACATGAACCTCAATTCTATTATAAGTTGAAACACCATTACCATGGACCTACACAAAAACGCTGTTTCAATCCAGTCGTGATACCTCATTGCCTCCTCTGCTATCAAAGCACCCATCGTACGCGAGACTGTCAGTCACCCATGACTTTCCTTGCTAGAGCCCGCATACTACTCAAAAAATACAGGCTCTGTCCTCGCTGCCTCGAAGACCATCCCTTAAAAGAATGCACAGAAAACCCAATCTGCTTCCGTTGCAATGCTATCGGCCACGTCACCGCCATTTGTCAAGATGCACCTGTAAAATTTTTTTAGTCCCGGGGACCGGGACTTTCCGGCGGGGTAAGATGTAGGAAAAGCGCTGGCTACGGTAATGCGCTATTGGTTCCTGCCTCTTGCTCCGCCCGCCCGCTAACTATATAAGCAACTAAGCCCCGCCCCCAAGGGCCAGAGAGAGACACCACCAACAAGCGAGCCGGCTCCGGCCGGCTCAGCCTTCATCCACTCATTTTAATACCTCTTATACATGTAATCTGTTTACTCCATTATTCTCTTTTCTTCTACATGTGCTCTCTTTACTTAGAGGTTGTATCGGTGTAATGCAAGAGCTCCCTCCTGTTTGGTCATCTTCATCTGATAACTTAACTCCTATCTCATTTCCTATCTATCCATTCCTATGCTTTATTCCGCCCATTATTGCTGTCTGCCACTATACATTTACGCTCTATGTTTGATTGTAACTGCTTGATAAATGCTTAGTAAGAGATTTAATTGACTACCACACATGCCGGTTTGCAAGGGCGTTGAAAGTAGGCGTTACTGGGTAAAAGTCCAGCTACGGTTCCAATCATAGTCTAACGAATAACCGCCCAGCTTAATTTCGTTACACTTTACGCCATGTTGAAGCGGTTGACCAGTGTGGGAGTTTGCTTTATTAGCGGCTCACAAATGCATATAATTCTTTTCTAATCTGGCAAACATCTACAAAAACCTGGTACGCCTACCAAGAGCTCCTTTTGATCTCAATTCGGTCTGCGTAAAACCTAATGCGGAATCTCGCTCGAAAACCAAGTCTTGAGATCCCCATGTCTGAATTGCTTTGCTGGTTGTAAGGATGGGACACTACTGGAGTACGAGTCCCAGAATCCTCGACCAGCATTACCTTAACTAACTCTGCCTAAAAGTTTTCCCTTGTCCCAAAACTCCTTACATTTCCACCCAAGGGATCGTTCATACTGCGCACAAAGGCGGACGAAGCCGGACGAAGCCGGACAAAGGCGGACGAAGCCGTACAAAGCCGGACAAAGGCGGACGAAGGCGCGGTCTCGTCTCGTCTCGTTTCTCTCGACACGCACACACACTCACACGCGCCTTCGTCCGCCTTTGTCCGGCTTCGTCCGCCTTCGTCCGGCTTCGTCCGCCTTTGTCCGGCTTCGTCCGGCTTCGTCCGCCTTCGTCCGCCTTTGTGCGCGGTATGAACGATCCCCAACATAGCCCACCAACTCAGGGGAACGGTTGAGCGGAATTTGTGCGCACTGTAGTAGGGCTAGTGGTGTTCCTACGGCCTAAGCGAGGAAATGGCAAGATCTCAACTTTTTTCCTTCCCAGCTTTATGGCGTTTTAGTACTGTTCAATATGAATCGCAATGTCAAATAATCTTCTATAGGGAATGGCCGATTTCTCAAGCGAAAGGGAATCAGACCATGATGCGCTGCGAAGGAGTGTCCGGCCGAATTTCGCCGAAGATGGTGAGCTAAAAACTGAATGTTTCTTGATTATGAAGCTGGACACTTGCTTTTTCTACTCTCATAGCTCGCACCTTTTCAGTTTATGGTGAGAAGAAGGGCACACAGACGGAAGAGGTTGAGTACAGCGAATCATCTCTTGCGCAGAGGCGATCAGCTCTTTTGGTGAAGTTGAAGCAACTAAAGGATTCGCATGGGACTACCACTACCGACACCAGTGCAAATCGAGCTGAAAGTGTTGATATGGTATGTTCTACGTATGACTTGAACGTTTACAATACAGTTTTTCTTTTGTTTTTTGACCGTTTCAATTATTTCATAGTGAAAAGAGTTGAGCTATAGAGCCTTGGGAACGTGATCAAGAAGAGTTTTAGGAACGTACCAGGAAAGATAAGCATGTGATCAGTAGCAATATGATTGGCCATCCCATTGACTATATGATCGGCCCCCTGATCCATGTGGTGGCGAGTAGCGGACTTTCTCTTATTATAAGGATAAACTAATTAACTCATTACCTCCCGTTATGGCACGGCTTTTCGTACTATCTCGCTATCAAAAATCGCCACACTTCGAGTTGGCAAGACTCCGCCTCCACACGAATCGGGGAGACGACGATGCTTTTTCGAACAAAAGAGGCGATTCGACAGTTTTTGTGTATTCTTCATACCTTCCAGAACGACTGCGATATCGAATTTGAATACAACGATTGCGATACTCTCTCAAATGAGTTAGCCGAGCTTTACACTTATTCTGAACTGGACGATTTTGCTAGCAATATCCATTGTTGGAAGGTTTACGCCGACAATAATGAGGTTGGTTCAGGAAACACGTCTTTGGAGTGTCTCTCATTTACTGTCTTTACATAGTCATCTCAATGAGACTGAAATCTAAAATTTCCTTGGAATTTAAATCTGTAAAGAAATTGAACCAACTAATCAAAGGCATGGCAACGTTCGCCAATTCGCTCTTCTGTTCCAGATTCCTCCTCCATTCCACTTCTCTTCACTACCGCTTGCCAAGAGAATGTTCATCATCCAAGACCTCTGCGCAAGAATGGAAAGTGCTGAGCCAGATGTGAGATTGGCTAGTGCTCGTATAATGCTCTACATTCTGCAGGTAAACGATTGTATACTTTTTGGCCTTTCCTCAAATTTTACTCTATATTCTTGCTCTTCTTTCCTGGCTTTGTTATATGTCTACATATTTGTCTCTATTTACACAGCAGTTTATTTTTGTTTCCACAGCACGAATTTGTCCCTTTATCGATTGTGATATTCTCATGTTGTTTGCGATCAGAGAACGTGACAATCGGCATTTACAGTTGACGGGTGTCGCCCGGACGATGGCGCGTCAACTGTTGACGACATAGTTCTTAGCACTTTTGTTCGTCTGGCGTTCATGCATCGGTTGGAGGGCATCCACCGCCCTCCGGTGTATCACTATTATTCCTCCTCTCCCCCACCTCTTTGGGGCTCTATTGTCCCGCTATTTACCGCATCTCTTCTTCTCGTAAAGTGCACTACTACCCGCTCTTCCGCGTTTTTTCTTTATCTTTGGTCTCGTTATCGATAGACTGTGAATGTTTTTGACACGGTCTTCCTTAGCTTTAATATGTGCGATTTCTGACTACATTTTTGACTTAGGCATTTCTAGACTGAATAACTTTTATAGGGAGCATTTTTGGACTTTAGCGATGAGGAAGAAGTGGAAGCAGGTGTACCACTTCGCACTACAACCCTTGACAAAGGCACAGGAGGGCACGAGAGTGAATGTCTTGTCAGTGCTTTTCTCAATGCTCATCTGGCATATAAGGCTGGAGCGTATCAGGTAATTCCATTATTCTCGCCATTTTTCTTCATAGTGGTAACCACAGTTTCTTTTTATTTTATTGAATTCTACTGCATCTAAATCGAATCCCGACTGTTATCTTAATGTATCACTTTCTATTTTTATCATCGATGAGCATATAAATCTGTTCATACACATTGCCTCTCCTTTTTTCATGTCTAGAATAGCTGTGATGTTCCTTTTATGTGAGCTTTGCATTCAAGGCGCTCTGTACTTTGCTGATGGCAGAGATCTGCGAACCATTTGATAGCGGAGCTGCACAAGTAAGTGAAGGTGGACGGGAATCCAAAGCTAGCTCACGCGGAAGTCGTTGTCCTAGCAGTGCAGACTTGGCTGAGAGCGGTGTGTTAGTTTGACTACTAAATAAAATTCTACAGTTAAAGCAGCCATAGATTTGTAGATCTTGTGTATGGAAGATGATTTGATATGTATGATTTGTAGATCGACGAAATCGTCGCACTGCAACCATGGCAGATAATGAAGCTATGAGAACTGTACTAGCAGCGCTTTACCATATGGTTGAGTTGATTCGCAATCAAGACATGACAGACAGACTGAAGGGCGAAGATCCTGGTCTGTCTGCGAGGAGGACAACTTTTCTAGCTGAACTGAGTGCGTCTCTCTTTTGTGGAAATCTAACTTTTCTGACGAATTCACATCCTTCAGATGAACCCCTTGATCACGTACATCAGCCTCTATTATTGGTGCTGTTCGAGATGCTTCCACCATTCTATACTGGAGCTTCTCCTCATTATCCCATTAAGAAGGTCAATAGTTCAACCAGCTACATCCTTACTTTTCCTTATCCACTGCATTTAGATTCTGCTGCTTATTTGGAAAATATTGCTTGCTACACTGGGTGGCTGGCGCATTCTAGATGCCATGAAGGCAGCTAAGCGAACTGGTCTTGGACTTCCGGTCATGGAAAACACTATTGAAGTGGCGTCAACATTAGCTGCAACCATTGTCAATGACACAGAAAGTGGTATGCGGCCCGATCTTCACATTTCGAGTCTTTTCCGTTTTTCTCTGCAACAGTGAACATTTATCTGTGTGCGCCCTTGATCGTATTATTCAATTATATAATGTTTGAATTATGCACCGTACTCATCGCTGCTTACCTTTTTGCCAAATTAACATATTGCCGTTTTAGGTGCTAGAGTAGCTTCTCGTCGCATTGTACCTATAGGGCGTATTATGGCCCGACAGCTGGCATATGCCGGCTCGAGTGAAGAAGCAAAAGATGAGGAAATTGACATCGGTGAGAGCTGCATATCACCACTTTTTTCCCTTGGACTGACTTTTTTAGGAGCTATAGCCGGAGAGGATTTTGGCAGTGACAACGAAGGATCATCACGAAGATGTGGGAGAAACTCTGTTACTCTTTATTTCGTTGTCTTGATAAAATCCCTTTTGCAGCGAACGAACTTCGTCAGTGCAGCGGCGATCGAACGCCACGAGCAGGCTCACCTATGCCGCAAGAGCCACCGAGGCGAGGATTGCCCTGGAAGAGCAAAGTGTCGAAGCAGGAGATTGAGGCGTTTTTACAACAAGAAAGGTTTGTGATATGTCATGAGGGAGCGCTTTTTAGTGTAACAAGTAGTAGTCCAAGACTCATGTTTTAGGCAGAAGTTCTTTTCATATCAGTTGCCTGGGGACGTGGAAACTATGTTTGCCTTGCCGATTCCAATTCACAGGAGTGTAGAGACATTGCGGAAGCATCTATACACTTCCGTTGGAGAGTTACAGGTTAGTAAGGAAACTTTCGCTTCATCTTTCTTTGAGTTTCTATTCGTTTTATACCCTTATACGGCTAGGCTTCGTTTTAAAAGTCTCATTTACTTACATAAAGAAAGTCTGCGTACAAGTGGTTAATATTTTGTTGATCTGTGGAATCCAATAATATTCAAAACTTTTAGACGATTTTATCTCCTTCCTGAATTCTCTGAATTGGTTTTCCTAGGCAGTACAAGACGAAGATTACAACCGTTATCTGTTTTCAAGAAAGGAGGAAATTGAAATGAATAGCGTTGAAGAACTTTACCGACTTCTGCTGCCAAATCTGTGTCAGTATGTGGTAGCTTTACTGAAAGTACTGCTAGCAGCTGCTCCTTCTAACAAGGTAGTTTGTTGGATTAATCACATATCATTCATAGCAGTTGCTTGGATACTTACTCAATTGTTGCTATCAAGGCCAAAAACGACGCGCTGAACATATTGGTTGATGTGCTCACCCCTGAAACAGATGGTAGCGATGTACTATCCAATTCTATCAGTTTGGATCATTCAACGAGCAGTCCTTTGGAAGAAAGTGTGCGACTAGCAATTGATATCAATAGGCATAAGGAGGTAACATCCTTTGCAGATTTTTTCAACTTTGTGTCACATCTTTTCGATCCAGATTATGGTCAAAGCAACATCGTCAATACTTCTTCTCCTCATGAAGCACTTGCGCTTGAATCACATCTATCAGTTCGAGTACCTGTGTCAACACATTGTGAGTGCATTACTACTTCTCGACGAATCATTGAGTTCATGAAAATTTGTTGCAGGTCTATGGCAATGGCATCCCATTGCTGCTCAAGTTTCTCGATCAGAATATGACAAGATATGTTCAATCAAGATATGAAATCCATGCTTACAACTACCCACAGGCGCCTTTGCATTTTGTACGCAACAGAGGTAATTTTCAAAATTACTTGCGAGCTGTGGACGTTGCAGTACGGATGAATGGAGAGTTCTTGTAAAGAGTCGCAGAGCAGCAGTCACGTCGTTTCTTCATTCGCTTTGACTGACCTGGATGCACTCGTTCCAAGCTTGCACTTTCTCGCATCTGAACATTCTATCGATGAGTGCAGCTACGCACGTTACGACTCACTGTTAGAACCAATCCATCTTTTTTTTTCGTTCTTCTCCTCTTTGAAATAATATAACCAAAACTGAAACTAGAGCTCTCCTTGTCATGGTCTTCCTTAACTGCAAACCACAATATTTTTGTTCTATTTCTTCAGATGAATGGCCTGTCTTGAACTCGGAAAATGTTGAAAGTGGTGAAATGGAGCGACGAGGAATGTACTACATGTGGAGAAATATGTTCTCATCCATAAATCTCATACGGTACCTCTTGCCTATTTCTTCCATAGCTTCAGTTTCCTTCGTAAAATTCTAAAAAATTTTGTTTTCATAAAGGGTGCTCAACAAACTAGTCAAAGGGAAACAATCTAGAGTGATGATGCTGATGGTGTTCAAATCGGCTCCCATTCTGAAGCGATCGCTCAAAATACGCCTGGTAGGCCGTTCCCAATGAAACCGTTCTTGTTTGATTCTTTGGCTTTAGGGTCTCTTCCAATTTTTCATACTGAAAGCGCTCAAAATGCAGTCGCGATATCTTGGTCGTCAGTGGAGAAAAAGCAATATGGACATCATGTCCGCAATCTATAACAAAGTACGGCATCGTATGACTGATGACTGGGCATTCGCGAATGAAATGCGAAAATCGTATGATTACCATAGTGAAGAGAGTGAACTGAAGGCTGCTGTCGAGCGGTTCCATAGTCGACGATATTCGAAGCTACATCCACAACTTGCCATTGGTGAGTCGTTTAGTCTTATTGCTTATTTGAAAGTCATTGCTGTTTTTGAAGTTTTGTCTCCATACAGATGACTTGTATGTGTTTAGAAATCAGCGATGCTCCCATGCCAGGTGATGATTATTTAAATAGGGTCAATCTTCGCGATTATGAGCCAGTTGATAACTGTCTCCATTCAGTCCTTGGGAAACAGCCGGAGCTAGGGAAACGGTAAGATATTCTCCATTTTTTCTTCCAAGTCTCCATAATTAGCACATTATTTTCCATAAATTCGATTTCTTTTTTGAAGATTCAAGAACAATTATCAAAAATGGATGGAAGAAGAAGTAATTAAGCGAAATATTGACTGGGATCGCCTTTTGATGAACACCAAGGGCATTGCGTTTTCTCGGGATGTTCCTTGTTAGGCAGCGAAGGCAATATGTTATTTACTGCAATGATCCGTGGTACTTATATTCATATGATACCTTCGTGTTTTGCTATAATCCTTTTCGAATCTTTAACGAAATGAAATAGGCCTGATCTGTTCAGCTCCCTACTTACATTACGTCTAATTGTAAGTCGATTTCCATACAGGTGCAAAACGTTTAGTGCAAATTGTTAATCTTGTCTGTTCGACCCATTTGCTCCTCGCCTCCTTCGCTAAATAAAACCTAATATTGATAAGCTTGTTTTATCAACAGCTATGTGTGAACATTATCTCCGCTTTTGTAATGATGTACAAATGAAGTCATTCTCATTTTTGTTACACGTGATGCTTTGGTCGGTTCCTTGACTACTTCCTTTCAAACGCTGTTACCACTATGCAATTTAATGAAGTGCTTTCACAGATGCTGACCCGCATGCTGCCCCGGTTCGGTAGGCCATTGATAGTACTAACTGAAAGGAGGTTCGCTACTATTATACATTTATCGCATTTTGAAATAGTGTTTTTTTTAGCTTATCTAGCAAAGCAACAGCACCAACGTCGCGAATACCGGCAGCTACGATAGGGGTGAAAAAGACTAAACCGTTTGAAGCGTTACTCGACGACTATGCAAAGTTTCATTGGGATGACACTGTCACTGATAAAGATCCGTTGGTGAGTGGTCCAGCTCTGAACTTGTCACGGAAGCGTCATTTCAGGTTGTTTCACTTCGTGAGCGATTGCTGAAGGGAGATCGATCAGCTTTAGCATCTGCTATCACACTTGTTGAATCGAGGAACTCACGTAAACGTGCCCAAGGAAATTTACTGCTTCATGTAGGTGACGTAATGTTGAACCATCATTTGGTTCAAATTGCTAGATTAGATGCCCATGATTACTGTTCTAGAATTTATTATTGTTTTTTTGCAATTGTTTTTTTGCTTATCTGTTCATAGCTTTTGAATTTACTACTGTTGGCGTGCAAACGCGCACGCATTCAGAGAAGCTGTTGCACACTTTCTGATGAATGGCTTGGAAATAGGGTGAAATCCGCAAGTGTAATTTTCTTTGCATTGGCGGTGTTTCAACTACATTTTGGTAAATTTTTTGTATTGGTCGAGTGAGGAAGCATTCTCATGTTCTTAAATGGATAGCAGTCATAAAATCATCCTTTGTCTTGAAAACCAAAAGAGTTCCATATATCCTTCCTCCCTTTGCCTCAGATTTATCTTAACTTTTTAGACCGTATTAGCAGCAGAGCGGAAGCGTTATGAAGAAAAAGGCAAAGATGCCATGATATTCCGCATTGGTAATTTTTTCTCATTTGTAGGAATTGCTTTTATAATGTTTTCTTCTTATCACACTGTTTCATTCAGGTATATCTGGAAGCCCCGGTGTAGGAAAGTCGTCGTTCATCGAAGCTTTAGGGAAAGAGCTCACTGAAAGGCGCGGGATGAAGATTGCTGTCCTTACTATTGATCCTTCAAGCTCCGTAACGGGAGGTATTTTGTTTTCTTGGAACTGTGGTGCTTATGACAGCTCAAAATTATTTAGGATCTGTACTGGGCGACCTGACAAGAATGCAAGAATTATCACGTAATCCGAAAGCTTACATCAGGCAATCCCCCACAAGCGGTACGAAACAGTATTTCATGAATCCTGAGACATTCTAATCTACTGGCTTCAAATGTAGGATCGCTTGGCGGTGTAACAAGAGGTATCCATGAAGCTATTATTCTTTGCGAAGGTGCTGGTTATGATGTTGTCATAATCGAAACTGTCGGTAGGAAACTTCTGTTGTTCTTCCAGTAAGCATTGAATCTTCTGGTGTGTTTAGGAGTTGGTCAGTCAGAAGTATCCGTGGTGGACATGTGTGATATGTTTTGCTTACTTCTTTCTCCAGCTCATGGTGATGAATTGCAGGTTAGACCTCTGTTTTCTTGCATCTGCTTTCCATTCGTATCCGTTTCACATTCACCTGTCCGCTTTTTTAATTCATGTGATCAAATTTATTAGTTTTGATATTGCTTGCCACTTTGAAATCTTTCCTTTTTTAGTCTGTTACCTTTTGATACCATTTTAGTATACAATTACATCAGATATCGTTCATTTTGCAAGTGCTCTCTCAAATTTGCCAACTTCTTGAACCTTAGTCGTTAGCATCACGCTTCGCTCTACAAAATTCAAACCAAACATGCTCGATCATTTGCTTGCCGAAACGCTCTTCATTTATGCATATTTCTTTATGTAAGATGTAGGATGGTAGCAGAAATGAATGATGAAAAATTGTCTTGTGTCCCTTTCAGTAAAGGGGCACAAGACAATTTTTTGCTCACAAGCGTCATGTCACCTCGATACAATTTATCCCTCAGTGTTGCCAGTGTCTGTCGTCTCTATTAGTTTTCGCTTGCAAGAACGACTTTGTTTTTAGGTTTGCTCACAAAAATGAGTTTGATCCTTTCTTTGCTCAATGCCATTATTTTCTTGCGCTTTTTCTCTCGTAAATTATCGTGATTATAGGGTGTGAAACGTGGCATAATGGAAATCAGTGACTTACTTGTTATTACGAAAGACGATGGAGATATGAAGGCCCGAGCGAAGCTCACTCAGGCGGAATATATCTCGGCCTTGAAATATATGCGACCTAGAGTTGAGGCGTGGAAGCCTAAGGTGCTGTTTGTTTGCAGTTTGTTCTTTTTTATCTATTTTGAGAACGAATTCCAGGTCTTGCGGTCATCTATACATGATCCGGAATCAATTCATGCAGTGTCTGACTGCATGTTTGAATTCTGGGAGACTATCTCAGAATCGGGTGATTTGGAAGATCGACGTACTAAGCAGATGACGACATGGATGTGGGATCATGTTAGAGAAGAGCTGTTGAACGTATTCAGAAAACATCCGAAAATTGCTCCCTTAGCTCCAGCTTTAGAAGAAGATGTACGCTCGGGAAGGACAACCCCTGGTCATGCATCTGAAGTGTTGATTAGGACATTCCTTGGTCTGTAGTTAATCTTGTTGTTATAAGTATATGTGCCTTCTAGTTTCGCCTTATTTCCATAGATTTGCTCAATTGATCTTATTTTTGATGAGTTTATGGCTGCATTTCCTCTTCTTCGATTAACACTCGAAAATTGCACGTGCGAGCTTGGATCATAAGTATTGTAAACTCCGCTCTTTCTCCAAGTAGTCTACATATGACCGGTGATTCGGGAGTAGTTAGCATAGTACCGGTAATAATTCGGCTCCTAGCAGTCTCTAGTTTAGTATTTCTTGCCAAATCACCTACTACGAGTAGATTTCACATCATCACAATTCTATGTGACTTACCAGACATGAATAAATAATTATTAAACAATCTACAAAGGGTGCTTGTGTTTCCTCTCACAAGAATATGGCTACTTAGAAAGTTGAGAACTGGTTTTGAAGTCAGCAACATTCTAACTTTAGTATGGCGTCTACGTCAACAACACGTTTTGCTGCTGACTACGCTAAGAGAGTAGCCGGATGCAAGAAATGTAAACTTCAGCTAGTAAAAGGCGTAAGTTTCTATTGAGGCCTTGAGTTTTTGCTACATATCAATCATACATGTGTGTTCACTAAACATGAATGCTATTTATTGAATGCTCTATTATGGAAATTTCGCTTGCCATCTCTAACGGTTAGGAGATACTCAGGGACAAAAGCTTTTTGATGCGATGTATGTCGTGACTCGTCTTGGAACACTGGTCTGCTCTCAAAACTGTGTTCGCCTGCCGAAAATTTCAGAAAGCATTTTTCTTCGAAAATGACATTTTTATGGCATTAATGCCTATAATGCTGAACGCGGCGAATGGCTAGTTGTAGGTATGTATGGTCGATAACAAAGATACATATTTAATCTCTCTGTGGTTTTTTTGCTTTTGTTTTGAGTGCGCTATTGTCTTCAAACCAGCGCTCTCCAGGAAACTGACATAGTCTATAGGCGTATGGAAAGGCACACTCACCAGTGTCCTTCCCTTGCAAGTTGAAAATTTGAAAAGACGTGAGAATGATAGTAAATGTAGGATATCAGGCTGCACAAATTCTATATGTAAACACTAAGCTGCATTTGGTCTACATTTAGTTGTTGATTTCCTATACTACATTCCAATAATTTTCGCGTAGAGAGTTAAGCAATTGTTGGCACATGATTTTGCCAGTATATATTATGTATTTATTGAATCATGTATGTGCTGGAGAAAAGTCTGCTTTACGTAGACAATATTTCTGAGCAATGAATATTTAATAATTTAGTGTAACATCTTTAGAACTTTCACTTTAGGATATGCGCCTTGCAAAAATCATTCCGAATCCGTTCATACAAAAACCGGATGGTGGGCCACCTCCGGACATGAAGCAATATTACCATCCTCATTGCTTGTTTGAGATGTTCTTCAAAGCTCGTGCCAATACCAAAGTTATCGAGGGAACTGATGACATCGAAGGTAAAAAACAGTGATGCTGACTTTATCCCCATTCTGAGATCTAGGTTGGGATGGTCTGAAAGATGAGGATAAAGATGTTGTACTGAAGTTTATCGACGAGCTGACAGAACTCAGAGCGAAGAAGGGTGAGGGTAAGCCTACTCCGAAGAAAAAGGCAGCTGATACGTCTTCACCAGCAAAGGTATGGGTAGCCCTCCTTTTATAATTCTTGAAAAAATAATATGAAAATTGTAATGCCGAATGGTGGGGAAGTCCCATTTTGTATCTTAGAATGGACGCTGTCTCGCTGCTTGAAATATATTTAGAATGTTCTAGCGAGTTAGATCAATCATTTTCAAAAGTTTTCAGGCTCCCTCAGCGTCGAAGAAGACGGAAAGTAAGGAAACGAAGGAGTCTCCGAAGAAGTCGAAGGATAAAGCTAAGGAGAAGTCAGAAAGCAGCAAGAATTCGAAGGAAAAGAAAAAGGAGAAGGACGAAAAAAATCCTGATGAACCAAATGAGGAGTCCAAGTACAACTCGTTCAACAAGGTACGTTCTCTAGCTTTATTCATCCACGTAACCAGGTCCGCTAGGAGAGGGGGTCCCAAATGCGATGAAATTCAAACTTTTTTATTGAGAGGCGAGAAATAGGAGCAAAGCAGCATTTGACTATTTGATTGGGGTAGGTGCGATATCGCTCATAGTTTGTCAAGAATCCAGCGAACTCCACTGAGTTCATCGAAATCTGCGTTGCATCGCCATATTTTGATTCAGAGTGGACGCAATAAGGTCACCTTTGACTCAGCTTGGAGACATGCATCTTCTGATATACAGAAATGTCCTTTCAGATACGTTAGCTACAGGGTAGGCGGTAAAATTCCATGAGTCCCTTTAGATTTTTGCTTGCGGTAGGTTACTCAGCGGCTTATTCATTGCACACTGAGTAACCCGCATAGATCGAGAATTTAGGAACAATCGTGAAACCTGGTCGCCTACTGTATCCAAACGGGGACTTTTACATACCAGGAAATGCTCCTCGCCGAATTGAGTTGAACGGTGCCGTTGATTCCGAATTCGTCCACTCTAGAGCAAATTAAGGTGATCGCGGATTTCGGCGAATTCGGTGGAGTTCGGTGACGTTTTTCGGCAATTTATGAGTTGTGTAGAGGGAATTTGGCTGCTTATGTCTAACAGTATCGCCGCGCAACTCTTCGAAAGGGAGGGGAGAGGTGGGACCATGACAAAAGCAAATTACTTACCTAAGAACCCCCCCCCCCCCCTCCTTCTTCTTCCCCATGTGCGCATGCTGTCGACTTCATTTCAGCACGGCCATCTCTCAAGAAATGCGCGAAAGAGACCTCATCCACGGTAAGAGGTGCTTACTAATGAGGTTTCTCATCATGCAAAGAAGATACTCATGAAAAATTGCAATAACCGAATGTGTATAATCGAAGTGCTAATCTTCCATATGCTAACTGAACTATATACTTCATAATTACTGTTGTACCCCAGATAAAGAATGCACATATCGTGAAGCAGGCTGTGAATATCTCAGATTCTGTCCACACTTCCCATTGGCCAGGGATGTGGCCAGAACGTATCGGCGGGAAAAGTTCTCTGGCAGAAACGGAAAACGATTGTCTCACTCTCAGTGGAATTTCTGATCTGAAGATATTTAAGAAAATCTACTTACGGATTTGCAACCAAGTTTCTTTTTGTATAAAATTGATGAACAGAGTTTATGAGCGGGTTGTAGAAAAATACTAGTTGCGGGGAGTATATTGAGGTACATTCCATCCATCTGTGTAGTGAACTCTATCCATCTATCTATTGCTAAGTCTTTTGAAAAAGACCGTTTTTTTAATTCAGATTTTTTGGCGTGAAGTTTTGCATTTTAAAAAATGGAGAGAACTGGGCCTCATTTAATTAGTCGAAGCGTTGAAGAGTTCTCTCCAGTGATGTATGATGGTTTACGATTCCATTATTATTTGGTTCCCTTTTTCTTCAGCCCTTACCGTACAACTTGCGTATCGTCGACTTCTCAAACATAAGTTAAAAGATCGACGAAATCCAAGAAGTTAGACAAATCCAAACTGGCTGATGTTTGGAGATGGCGTATGGCGGTCTTATCTCGCAGATGAATAACTTCAGTCTACTTCAGACCTCCGAAGAGGACGACTTTGTCAAAACGTTAGGTCAATAAATGAGACCAGTGTACTAACCTGGATCTGGCACAAAATAACCTAGACCAAGTAAGAAGATCTTCAAAAATGAATATTGCAGAAAGCCCATACTTTGAAAACTTTAGAAATTTTGGAGCCAAAAATTCGGGCCTTTTGTGATCTGTAGGCGGTCCTATTTAGGTACAAAAATTAAAGCTAAATGATAAATTATGAGCTGTCTTAGACTATGATCACTTGTAACTCTCTTTCAATTTTTCGTGAGTTTCAAAAGCGTAAATCCACAAAAGAAAGAAAACCTATGTTTTTGTTACTATGCTCATTAAGTTGTAAAAAATTTTTTGGCACCAATTTTTTTTTGGTGAATAGATGCTTCTCACAAGGGAAGGATAGTTGGATGCCGCGGCCATTCCTAATGATTTGTATACCAAAAAATGCGCCTTCGAATGCAGATTCTGAATCTGTGCTCGAAATCTGCGAAACGATCTTTTGAAAAAAGTTATGAACTTTTTTCCTTGAAAATTTAGCCTACTTTTGGATAGTAAAAATCACCAGATTTGATCTAGCCTACCGTTTGATGCTACTGAAGGAAATTTTAGACGTAGTAATATTTAGTTAGACTATCTGGATCATACTCAGCATTTGGAAAGGGGAGAAAATTTTTTTATTGATGATTTTGACCCTCCGCAGGAACGCTTTTTTTAATGAAAAAAATCATAACTCCATTCAGATTATCGTTTCGCAGATATGAAAGACAGTCTACGAACCAGCATTCAAAAGCGCATTTTTTGGTATACAAATCATTATGAATGGCTACGGCATCCAAGTATCCTTCCCCTGTCAGCATATTGTCGTTGTCGTACTCAACAATTCTGATTTTTTTTTCTTGTATATTTTAACGCGATCTCTTTCGGGTACTTCACACCAGCTTTTGAGATCACTTACAGTCTTTTTTCCTGTCACGTTTATTCCCGAGAACTCTCGATCAGGACTACCCTAGCCGCTTAAGTGATAGTTGCAAAGCTCTCTCGTTTGCACATCGATGTCTTCTTTGAAAAAATGCTTTTTATTTAGTTCGCAAAATTATGCGAAGTTATCGCCACTATGGCCAAGTACTCGGATAAATCTGCAGCAGTGAAGATGTTTGTTTCAAGAGGTAGCTTATTTATTCTGTTTCTTAGTGACCACTTTGGTCTTTCCAGATGACTATGATGGTGACATGCTCACTCTGGTGCGATTACTGCTACCAGGTGTAGATCAAAGGGTCTACAATATCAAGGAGAAGCAAATTATCAAACATTTTGCATCGGTCTGTGCTTCTGTTCACTACCAAAGTGTATGTTTCATCTATTTACACTCGTAGATATTTGATCTACCAGCTGAAGACCTCATGAATGAGTACAAAAACAATGGAGATGTATCCAAGACCGTTCGCGATGCCATGGAAAAGAATAATCTGAGCAGAGTGACAAAAGGAAATTGGAGCATTGAAAAGGTGAACGAGATATTATTTGCCTTTTTTTGCATGGATATAGTAGTCACACGCGCGTTTTGTACATTTTATAAAACAGCTCGGAATTTACAATAATTTTCAGGTTGATCGCTGGCTGAATAAACTTACCGAATTGACCAAGGACGATGAGCAGATTGCGCATCTCAAATTTGCTGCTAAGAGGTATGGTATAGTGAGTTTTGGAGCAATCAGGCGGACAGTTTTTAGCCACCACTGGTGGCATGAATTATCATCAGATACAGAAATTTTGCGGTATTTCTTAGCGAAAAACATTAGTTTCTACATCCTCATGTTAACTTTTGAAGCGGTTCAGCGTATGATAATGTCCCTCTTCGGCTGCCATCCACCAACCTCGCAATATATCTTTATCTGGTTATCAGACAAGAAGAATGGACTTTTCTAATGTTTACAAACATACACATAAACGAACAATCAATGTCATAAGCAAGTTCATACTCGGTAATAAGAGTAATCATGCTTTTAATACCGATCTTCATGTTTCTACTTCTGATCGCGATTCTGATTCCGGCCACAGCTTGAGCATATTCTTACTGTTGTTCCGAATCTTTGCTGCTCCGTCAGCAGCCGTCGACTTCCCCGTGACCACTAAGCTCTTCACTATGAAAAGCCGTTTTTGACTTGCCCTGTCCCCCTTTGTGTTGCATTGGACTTGCTATGTCGCCTTGACGAGATGTGTCCTTGCTTCAGTCTCTCTGTGGATGTCTTTTATTTTGCGTCACCACAAAAAACATGGGTTGCCAGTATCTATATGCGTCAAAGTTCACTTTCCTTGTAAGCTTTTTCGAATACCGTTTTCTTTGAGCATGTTTTTGTCCAGAACGTCCCTGCACCTTGATCTTTCAATTTCAAGATGACCAGGCCTCACAGTTCAAACATCTTTTGGACTCATTCTTAAATGCTTTTGTGCCGGACAGGTTTGTTGGGTGTTCTTCATTCTGTCCAATCACGGTCTTACCCTTACTTTTCGACGCCTTTCTTGCTCAGAGGCCTGAAAAGTGCTCAAAGCCTTACCTGTGAAGCAAAACCGTCAAGCACCATCTCTACTCCTGCTAGTTTTTTACCTTTGTTCATACTTCCTACCGTAGAAATTCTCATGACAGAAGATGAATATAGCCTATGTAAAAGCCGGTGAATAGGTTTGCGCACCGGATTGATGGTCTTGGCGGATGGAATGGGCTCTACCATAATTGCACATGAAATGTAATCTACTGTCTGCCTAACGATATGAATAGATGGAAATGCGGTTATCGACAAGAATTCGTATTGATTGTTCATTGCTGGGTTTTTCGCAGAAATTTAAAATGCTTCTTAGCAGGGTTTTTTTTCGAGTGCCAAGGCTTGACATCTGATATCAAAATCGTCTGTTATATAGTTTCTATTGTACAGGCTGTTTTGGACTAACTGCACTTTGATATTCTTGCTTAGGATGTCCACTTACGATATCGTTCTGCAGTAAGTGCAGGTAAAACATCTCAGGAAAGCCGCACTGATGTTATCGGAGATAAATGGGAGACACAGTGGGAGTTTATCATCTTGAATTTTGTTAACATGCGCATGTTGCCGATTGCGAAGCAAAGAATGGTTGCAGGCGACCTGGGAGGCTGCGCTTCGTGACTCACATCGTTTCGTTTCGCCGGAGCACATCTTCATGGCCGTCCTAAACGTATTCTTGATTACGGCTTGTATCGTAGCTGCAGGATGCACAGATTTGACATTTATAAGGATGTTCCAGGAGCTTTCTTTGCGGTACCAATATAAGTTGACGATGCCATCGGATAATCTTACTTGCGCGTTGAGATAAGGCAGTCACCGGTCATGTGGTGTCTCTCGTTTGAGCTTTATGTACTGCGACTTCTGGTCGAGAATTTCGAAACTTTTGTCCATTTCGGGCTGTGTCGATTTGAATATGCAGCAATCATCGATATAGCGGCACACATTAGCGGCATGGGTGTAGAAAATCTTGCTCGATAAGTTTGTGCCACGCGGGTTGCAGTTGGAGAGTGGGTACTACCTCAAAGAGGTAACCAAATTTCATTAATGAATAAAACACAGGCGTTGGTTCGGTACAGAAATGAGAGTAAAGTCCACCAAAACTTGTCTCGCGAGTGCTTCTCAGAGAAACTTGTGGACCTAACACTACCCCCAACTTGTGAAGGAACTTGTGGAATATAGCTTGAACTTACTCATCCATCAGTATTTATACCCTCTAGATCATTGTTGATTGTATATGCTATCATTAAGTGATATATTGATAATCTCGGCTAAACAAGGTTGTGTATTCAAGGCAAATGATAGACTGATAGTTCGCCATTACTTGTACTTACTTGTCTGGCCGACTTCTTCCATGCGGGGTACTGTTCCTACATAAAAGGTTTATCAACATTTACTACACAATCAGTAATAAATATAAACAAAACAATCGATGCAATTACGAATAGATCTGATCACACTCTACTTCGACTTCGAGGTCGCTTTTGGCGACAGTGCGAGCCAGTACCGACTCCTCAATTCTACTCATAAAGTAAACTGCGAGAATCGGCGCTGACCTCTGGCGCATAGCTAATCCGCATATCCGGGCATTGTACATCTCATATCATCTAAAAATGTTGCACTTGTTTGCTTTGCACAGATGCATTCAAAAATATAAGCTATGCTCAGGTTTAAAGAAAGTGGTATCTCCAAACTATTCTTCATAGAAGTTATCGATGTCTCTTCGAAATGAAGCTAAATTTCTATACATAACTGTCCTGTGGCACGTAGAGTCAAGAAACACACACGCTTTATGGAGTCGAAATTAACGATGGGTGCTCATCTACTTTTCTACGTAAAAAAGCTCTTTCGTTGTGACCTTGCAATCATTTCCTTCTTTCCTGCAGCGGTTATCCAGAGCTGAGATGTTCCGGACTTGTGTTGGAAAGTTTTTTGCGCTGCTACAAACTTCCGAATAGACTCCTTTCAAGCTCCATGCTCAAGCTGATTTATAAAAGTTTCCGCATGGTCAGTTAAGTGACCTTGTCTAGTTCATAATGCCATCCTCTGCTTCATCAACGCTTGCACACTTTGGCAAGCCGATAATTTTGATCTCGAGTCCCATTTGCACGGCTTTAGCTAGGGCGAACTATTTCTCATCATTTCAAGTTCTTCTTTAGTACTTCGCAGTCTATCATCTCTGCGCGTTAGCAGTGATTTTGAGACTGCTAGTGTGCGGCCCATATTCGCAAGCTGATATGCTTAATTTCTTTTTTCTTTGAATTTTGCTTTTTGCGGCTTAGTGAAAGTTTTCATACTTGACTTCTTCACGCAGTCCGATATCGTCAAATCCTCATTCGCTTGTAGGCGAGCTAAGGTAAAAAGAATCCACGCTGGCATTGAACCTCCTTCCATGGTGAAAGAGTCGCTCGATGCTTTTCAAAGGGATCCGGCGTATCGTAAACAACCTTCGTCCGACTATTATCTTCACTAGCGTCACAATAAGCTTTATCCGGTTGGACAAGACCTTTTTCAAATGGGTAATCAAGAATACATAAATTTTCGTAAACATAGCAATGTAAACACACCAATGTTAATTGCCCGCGTAAGGAACGAATGCTATATACAGTGAATGAATATGTTTCCTTCCCTCTCCGTCAGTGATTCTTTTCTCTGCTCAGTCAGCCAGCTTATCTGTTCCTTCATCATCTCCATCATTTCCATATTGGGCTGCCACCACTCGTGAATCAGCATAGGCTTACCGCTACGTGATTCGGCCTTGATTCAGCGCAGCCTCCTCATCGCGAGAAAATGAGCTCTACTGCTATTAGTTTCCAAGTTTCCTCCCTTCTTAATCTCGGCATAGTTAGTATGTTGTGAGTAGATTAGTAAGCCGATCGATTAGTGAATTATTAGTAAGTGGCGGCCTGACGTTTCGAACTATTCGTCTTCTGCAGGAGTCTCCTCCACCGCCGGCGCGCAGATGTTGAGCGGCCTTCCTTCAGTGCCACTGATACCAGTAATCGGCGGATTACTGGTATATCATGCCACTGCCAATTATTGGCATCAATGGCACTAAAGGACGGCCGCTTTCAACATTTGCGCGCCGGCGTTCGGGACCGCTGAAGAAGACGAATAGTTCGAAACGAAACGTTAGGCCACCACTTACTAATAAATCTACTAACCTCGACCGGCTTACTAATGCACTCACGTCATATCTACTGCTATTGTTCACGGAAAGGTATGATGATCCTTTTGAAAAGCCTCCAGGCTTGAGTCCATGACTTATCATAGTCGTGTAACTTGTGATTGTCTTCTTCGGCCTCCATGATTGTTAGAAATCTTCAACTCAGGCTAAGGTTTCGGTGCCGTCATCTTCGTCAGAGCTGGGAATCGAATCGTTAGTGACTTTTCATTGCCTACTGTTAGTGATCAGTGAGTGATCCAATTTGATTGTAGATGGAATCCGCATAAGGGCTGATACGAGATATTGCTGTTGGTGTAACAAGGGTTGTTGGTGATGAACAAACATCGCTCGTCATTTACTTCAGGCGGTTGTATTTTGGATAGTTGAACCTTTATTTAAATGAACATATTTTGTAATAACAGCAAAATCATCAACCTCAAAGTGAACGTCCTCAAAAAATTTGTCATGCTTACAAAAGACCTACATAAAAGACGTGTTATCAACTCCTTGTTGACTTCTTGATTGATTCTTCAGAGGAATGTTGATTGGAAAGGGAACAGTAACTTGACTTCAAAAAATCTGTGAAGAAACTGCCGCCATTGTTCACCGACTGGTATTTATACCCATTTAAACCTGATTAACATGTATGATGCCACGTCACTACCAACTGATCTGGTGTTGAGCTCGTCCAGGTTTACTTGTGTAGACAAATCAAACTAGATCCGTCAAGAGTGAACTTGTATCATCGCGTTGACTTGTCTTGTCGGTCGCTGTCCTTGTGAGGCCACCCTATGACATTCCATAATTGCAGACAAAACAGGAAATAAGGCAAAATAAAAGATAAATAATAATGGATAAGGATAATGAAGTTGCTAATAAAAGTAAGGTGATTGAATCAACTACGATAAACACCCAACATTTCGTCGCCATTGGCAGCGGCCACTTTGAGCTCTGGCCTATCACTGCAAGAAACTTGAGAACCTACAAGAGATTTCGATACAGCTAGGGACGTTTTGAATTTTGCACTGCACTAAAATTCACTCTTTAGATGCTCTACAGTTTTAGCTCGGCATTCCAGAGCTCGCGGGCAAAAGTAAATCAAAAAGTTCAAAAGAAAATACCTGAAGAGGAGAAATATGGAATCTAGGTAATTTAAGGTATGACAGAATTTTTGTTTCAGTAAATAGAGCAGAACTTTGTTATAGAAATTTTGCTGCGTACGATCTTTTGAATGTGGATAATATAAATTTCCCAGTGCATTTTATCATACGAACTGGGTGTATGTTATTATTTGCAAGTTGTTACATCTTTTCACATCCTATGGTCATTATTTACAAGCTATCACCATTCAGTGTGAATTCTCAAGAACATATCATCAGACAAAATTTGTTGAGTTCTTTCTTTTAGGATGACTCCGTTAGAACTGCAATACCTTTTGCGCCTTGTTATGAAAGATCTCCGCATCAACGCTGGTGTCAAGCATATCCTTGATGGATTGAACTCCTTTGCATATGAAGCCTTCCAGAATTGTCGCGATCTGGCTGAGATCGTCGATAGGTATGTTTTCGACAGACTGCAAACAAGAATTATACAATAAATTTTGCCTTAGAGCCAAGAAAGGTCAGTTGGGTGATATAGCCATTACAATGGAAGTTGGTATTCGGCTCGGAACCCCAGTGTTGCCTATGCTGGTAAAATCTAAAAATTTGGTTTAGCTGAATCTTGGGATTGATTTTTGTTCAGGCTGAGCCTTGCAAATCAGTTGATCAGGCTATGAAAAAATGCCTCAATGGAATGTTTGCTGAAATTAAGTACGATGGTGAGCGAGTGCAGGTAGGTGAACGTGGACACATTTTATCAGATGACCCAGATTAGGAGTTTTGAGGTTCATAAAGTTGGTAAATCGTACTCGTTCTTCTCTCGAAGCCTCAAGCCTGTACAACATCATAAGGTAAGAATGTGAATAGCAAGGATATCGAAGGTATCTTTTATTTATGCTTTTCAGATCTCCCATCTCGAACAGGTCATCCCACAAGCTTTCCCAGCTGGTCTGGATCTGATCCTCGACGCTGAGGTAGGAGATATATTCATTCATAGCAGTGGCGGAGAGGGGGAGGGTGCATTTTTGAAAATGACTTGAGTTATGGAATTGTGTGACTATTTTTTTACTCTTTACTGGTTAGTACTTCATGAAATTTTTCAAGGTTCAAATTATCGTTGCGGAATGAATTTTTTTAGGGAATTGTTTCTCTAATTTCGTGGGAATCTCGAAAAATTTTGGAGCGTATGTCTAACCCACGCATCTCCATTTGAAAAAGTATCTTTCCTCCTTTTGCCGGAAAAAATTTTGGACCGTCACTGTTTCATGGTGTTTTTAGCTTCCTAGACTCATTGCTTCTGGGTGAAAAAGCGAATCCCAAGGATGTCTCCTGTCAAATCAAGCTATCGGGTCTATGTAAAAATTGACTATGTTTCTAAGATGTTCCCCAACGTCTCCTTGGTTTATTCATGGCCAAGACATTTAACCTCACTCTCGCTCACTATGGTACGCCGAGAGTTTAGAGTTGGATTTCTTCGCGTTGTTCAGATGTAATGAGCTACGGTTTGGCTGCTGGCTCAGTTGAAATCTTTCAAACAGAATATATGAAAAAAATTTTAAATACGCCAATTTTTCCAGCTACTGAATTTAATCCTTTTTCAGGTGCTCCTTGTTGACAACGCGACTGGCAAACCACTGCCATTTGGCACTTTGGGTGTGCATAAGAAAGAACAGGTCAGTCCTTCGGCTCACATGCTTCAAGTGTTTACTGATTGCCATTCACTGAAATTCTTGTTGCAGTTCAAAGATGCGTCTGTCTGCATTTTCATTTTCGACATTCTCAGATATAACGATGAGGATCTGATGTCAAAGTAAATTCAACCTATGATAAGTGGCCTCTTTATCCCGCAACCTCTTGTTCAGGACTTTGGCTGAAAGAAAAATGCTCCTCGAATCAAAAATGACAGAAGTAGAAAATCGAGTGATGATGTCCAATTATCAACTTATCCGTCATGGGGTGATTTGGTCATTTTGCTTTTCAAAATAATGCTTACTTCTTGCTCTCTCTTTCATACATAAGTACTTTAGGATCATGCAACCCTCAAAACCATGATCTGGAAAGCCATAGATGAGGGCCTAGAAGGACTTGTTCTGAAAGTAAGTTTATTACAAAATTTTTGATCCAAGTAATTTGCTCGGATGTATATTTTGGTTACAAAATATCGCTTACAGGACACCAGATCAGTCTATGAGCCCGGAAAACGGCACTGGCTTAAAGTCAAAAAAGACTATCTGGAAGAGGGTAAAATGGCAGATACCGCAGATTTGATAGTACTGGGTGCCTATTTTGGCACCGGCAGCAAAGGTAAGCAAAACTATAAGTTCTTGGCCGTCTCCTTGTTCAATCTTGCACCAATCATTTTTCCCTCGTAAAACTTCCGGAAATAGTTCTCTACGAATAAATCTATGCAATTACTCCTGTTCTTCTTTGCTGGTATCCGCTTTTTTCCAGTCCTACATGGGATTTCAGCTCTAAAATTTTTCAAGTTCTTCCATTCACAAAATTTGTTGAGTCCATCTTCCCCTTACTCAATCTGACATTTGCTACAGATGCATACTCTAAACAAGTCCTTTTTAGACCAGTAGTTTGAAAAAAAGTGAGAAATATAGTTATTTGTATGGGATCCGAACCTGCTTAATTCAGCTACCTGCTTTGAATGCTAAACTAATTTTAGGTGGGATGATGTCTGTGTTCTTGATGGGTGTATACGATAAAGAGACAAAATCCTATCGCACTGTTACGAAATGTGGCAATGGACATACAGATGATGCCCTCGATGCTATAAATAAGAAGATGAAAGACAAGGTATCAAATTGTCCCTTGCTTGTGGAAGCTTAAACTTTTATTTTATGAAGATGACAAGGATTGATCGAGATTTTGATCGGCTGCCAAAATGGTTGCGTTGTTCACGCAGTCTTGTGCCGGACTTTGTCGTGAAGGATCCGAAAGAAGCGCCTGTCTGGGAAATCACAGGCAAGAACTTTCTCTTGTCTAAATACTTGAAAGAAATAGTCGGAACATAGTCTATGACCTGAAGATTATTTATTTGCTGGTTAATCAGTCTGTGGCCTAAAAATTATCAATAAAGCATCTCCAAATTCAAGATCGCTCTAAAATTCAACTTTTTGATACCACATATGCAGTTTCACCACGCAGACTGTTTCTGAATTTTCTGAAGATATAGAAATTTTCTAGTGGCATGCTATTCATTAAACTCTCTTCATGCCGTTGCTCTGTCTATGAAGAATCGTTTGTCTGTTCAAGAAAGATGAAATTGGGAAAATCGCGCGGCTCCCGCAGCGAATGCGCCTGCAAATCTAGCACCTTTAGCTGGTTCACTAGTTTTGTAAAAAGGAGATTCTGAGAAAAAAAAGCTCCACGTATCTCTCTTTTGGGACTATCTGGAGCCTTCCATTCGAAATAAAAGTTTTGTGAAATTTGGATCACATACTTTTTCTACATATTTTCTCCAAACATTTCCAGCATAATTTCTCTGATTTAGTTTTTATTATTTTTCAGGTGCTGAATTTTCAAAATCCGAAAATCACACGGCCGGAGGCATCTCTATCCGCTTTCCACGTGTAACTCGTATCAGAGACGACAAAGACTGGGAATCTGCTACAAGTCTGGCCGAGCTGAAGGTGCAGTTCCGTTTTTTTTTTCACATTTTTAACTTCATAATTTTACAAACTTTCTTCCAGAAGCTCTTTGAAACCTCAAAGACAAAGAGTGACATAGATCGCACCAAAGAAGATGAAACACCACTATACGTCAAAGAGGGCATGGAACATGGAAATATAGAAGAAATCGCTGAAGAAGAGGCTGCTGCAGTTAATACAAGCACTGAGAGTTCGAGCACGAATACTAGTGCAAATGGGAGAAAACGTAGCGCTGAAGATGAAGTGGAAGAAAAAGATGTGAAAAAGGCAAAGAAAGCAAAAGAGGAAGTCAAGGAAGAAGAAAAGGGAGAGAAGGATGCGAGAAAGACGAGAAAGGCAAAAAAGGACGTCAAAAAAGAAGAAGACGACGAAGAAGAAGAAGTGGAGGAGGAAGAGGAGGAAGAGAAATGCCCTCCTGGGATGACTGCTTGCAAGTAAGCGTTTTGAAGTGATAGCAATTATAATAGAATTGAGGGTATTGTCATTGAATAGTTGACATTGATTTTTGCTGTAGCTATGCCAAGATGGTATGATCTTTTAATTTGAGATCTTTGAAATTTTGAGTTAAATAGTTGTTAATTTTTAGATACGGAGCTGATTGCTACAGGAGGAACAAGGAGCACAAAAAGGAGTTTTGGCATCTAAAAAAGAAGTGATCTGGAAGTGAGTACGATTTTACTAAAAAATGTCATATATTAGGTTGGTGCAAAAGTTCTTTCCCACCAAATTCAAAAATTCATGACTTCTGAATTTTCCAACCGATTGGATCGCTGTTATTTTTTTTATGAAAGATTAAGCCATGCTCTTTATAATGACACCTTAGATGCTTGCCAAAGATCATCTGTTGCATAGATAGGAGCGATAAAAGGAAATTAGTCAAAATTCGAATTTTCTGTGTAGGGTCATAAGAAAGAAACTTGCAACAAAAATCGGAGCAGTCAGTATTGTAGGTTCTTCTACATGCTCTTTCTAACAGTGCAAAGTTTGCGCCGATTGAACGTCTCTATGAAAAGTTACGATTTTCGAGCAAGCAATACAAAAGGACGAATTTGATTTATTTTGGCATTTTTTAGGGAAATTGTAACTTTTCATAGAGACGCTCAATCGGCGCAAACTTTACACTGTTAGAAAGAGCTGGTGAAAGAACCTACAATATCGACTGCTCCGATTTTTGTTGCAAGTTTCCGATTTTTTATGACAGTACACAGAAAATTCGAATTTTGACCAATTTTATTTTATCGCTCCTATCTATGCAACAGATGATCTTTGGCAAGCATCTAAGATGTCGTAGTAAAGAGCATGACTTGCTCTTTCATACAAAAATAAAAACAGTCAAATCGGTTGAAAAAATTAGAAGTTATGAATTTTTGAATTTGGTGGGAAAGAACTTTTGCACCAACCCAATATGTAAATTGTGCAAACTTGCGTTTGCTCAATCCATATCAAAAAGGGTACTAAAGACTACCAGGTTTCGAAAGCATTATTCAGAACAACTTACTTTTTGGAGCTGAATACAATATACGCAACGGCCGTAGTATACAGGCTTTCAAAAATGACCACTTACACAGAATTTAAGATTGCAGCTTTGTTTATCTTTCGCGATATTTCCTGTGATATCTTGTGAAATTTTCCACTTTCATTTTTGAAAAAGTGAGTATTATTATGTAACTGGGGTCGCTGTACTGTTTTTCTCACCAGAGGCGAGTATTTAGCTCCTTATGGGACAATTATTGAGCTAAAACGTCCCAAAAATTTTATCTATCCTAGTCAAGTGAAAGACAATGCGGTGAAAATGAATTAGATTCAGAAAGATATTTGAAATTAAAATGAGATGTCCTCTACCATGTGTAAACGCTTTCAACCATTCATATACTTGAATATATGGGGGGACACACACTTCACATACACTCATTTATAAACAAACTATATGGAATACGAGCTGTACGACAAGAAAATAGATTGAAAGTAGCAAACTCCGATCTTTCCGTCACAATTTTCGTTTTCAAACACGTTGCAATTTGTACCCGGAAAATTCGAAAGTCAATATATTATTGTTGGAACGGCAAGCGCTCGCTATGTAATTTTCTTGTTCAATTGTAGTCGATTTGTGGAAGTTCAAATTTTGTTAAGGTTGAAGCGTTTATGTATCTAACGACTTCAGAAAAATGAAGGGCTTAGGAAAATTCTTCGAAAATTACTAAAAACCCATTGAAGATGCAAGATGCCCGTAAAATTCAATGTAATACAATTTGTTTGCTTTATCCAATTGGCATCAAAGCTCTTTCAGAATTCTGAAATGGAATTCCGAAAATAAGTGACTTTAGGGTAGGTTAATAACATGTTTGGTTAATCTGACCATTATTTGAGCGATTCAAAGATCTTTGAATGAAACCATTATGCTAGATAGAGGAAAATTTATTGCATCGACCACTGTCCAGAGATTCTTCTATCATAATTGTTTAACGATTTGAAGATAGATTCAAAAAATGGCGCGGTGGACCGACTTAATATTGTAACAAGAGAACTCAAGCTAATTTATGCTTTCGTTTTAAGCATTGACATTGGTCTGTTTAGGGCCTCTTGAGCAGATTCTCTATACTTTCCCCCAGTGATTACCCAACAAGCGAATGAGAATTATCGGCTGTACAAAGCACTCATTGAATGATATAGTAATACAAACATTGTTCACTTTATACCTTGCTTTACGCCCTGTGCTGGTGTCATACATATTTCTCCCCGGTTTTATCACATGACCATGTGGCTACCTCATTTGCTATCATCTTGCTAACGCTACATATTTGCTGGGAATTCCTTGTGAAAAGTGGAAGTTCTAATGAGTTTTTGGAATCAGTTTGAACTGAACATTAAGAGGTGATCAACTTTCCTGTACGAACCTTTTTTTAATCTATCATTTGGTTTCCGTTCATAAAAAAACATAGTGGTTTTGAGTTTGTGGGACTCGATCTCATTCCAGTCTTCATTGGAACTCACAAAAAATTTCAGGATTTTCTCTATTACTTCTTATCAGCAACCAGCATTTGCAATTACTCTGGCTTTGTACTTGAATTACCGCTTTACAGTATTCTTTGCTTTATTTTCCGCTTGACATCATTTATTTGTAGTCACATAAGCACTTGTGTGTATAGGCCATTCTCGCACGCAGAGACTGGATGAAATTGCGTCCGACCAGGATAGTTCGTGATCTGAAGAGACAACAGACGGTAAGAGTTCGAAAGTGCACTGGTCGAAGAGACGCCGCAGCGTCCGCAATGGCGTCCTTTCTCTGCGTGGAACGAATCGTCTATGTTCTCTTCTGAGCGTCCCAGCCACATTTTGTTCAGTTTGAATGTCGTAAATCCTTTTATGTGTGTGAATTGTTTTGACAACTCACCTGATGTTACTCCTTTGTACTTGTGTGGTGACATAATAAACATCTTCGTAGCAATATTGTCTTCATATCTTAGCTGTTTCGAACAGCTTTTATCTGCAAGATGTTGTGGTAACGAGAAATCAAGGAGCTGTTACTTTTAGGAAAGATACAGTTGAAATCATATTTTTGGTATGCTGAGATGTCTGCGGAGGAGAGACAGCAGGAATGGAAAAGGATGAACGATGAAATTCATCCGTGTCCTGGTGTACGCGTGGCCTACTTGCATTTAAGATGATAGCAGGTTTGTTTCAAAAATACATGGCTATCATCTCAATAGTTCATCAAAACCAAGAATTCAAATCAATTAACGGAGAATTATGTACTCTGGTCGAGCTGGAATTTACTGCCATTGAGTGAGTAAGAGACTTTCAAGCGAGTCATTTTCAGTCGTTAAATAATATTCAGAGAAACACATGCAATATCCCAGCGGTGGTCCCACAAATTTGTTTGGTGCGGGGAATTGGGGGACACGCCCTCCGAGAATCTAGCGGGGCGTTCCGAGTTTGTTATGGGCCTAGACTTTGAGATTTTGCGCAGTATCCGAAGGTGTTGAAGCTTACAACTCAGTAAGCTTAGGTGGTACTATGAAAAATGTTTGATGTGCTGTCTAACACTGTTCTGCATCTTTGCAATGTCCACTAAAGATAAAATCTTCCAAAGTATGCGCGATTTTTCTGGAAAAGTCAGTCCTCGCTGTTTTATCTTTAGAATGAAGTAAATGTATCTCATTTGAGGTTTTTTGCTGAGCTAATGCAGAGTTAGAGGAGCACAAATGCTCAAACATCCCCTATCTCCAAATACACATCAAGCGGAAATCGGACCTTTCCCCCAAAAAATAAAGAGTATAACTTGCTTGATTTATTATTGTCCTTTTTTGACAACGGAATGCATAACTTTTTTTGCAAGTAACTAAACTGATTAGAAGCTCAAAAAAATTTCTGACTAGAAGAAGTGGAGCACATTCTAGTGAAATCTGTTAGCTAATCTCCTGATCATTCAATGAAAAGCTAAAGGATGCAGTTTAAGGAAATCATTTTGAGAAGTCGAAATTGTTCGCTTCATTCTAACATCACATGTCTACAAAAAGATCTAGAATGTAGATAGTCAGTTTTTCACAGAGATTCGAGTACATGTACTCCAAAAGTGCACATTTTTTTAATCTCTGTACAAAAGTGTACGTGCATCCACCTTATCTCAACAGTGTTCAAATATTTATATTAAAGAATCATTTGCAACAGTTGTCCTTTCACTAGCAAGCCAAAGCTCTTCATTACCAGAATCACAGTGCACGTATCAAAGGCTTTCATTTAGCTTTGGCACGTATTGTACTCTTGATCGTGGAGATTGTCCGTGTTGTTGTATGATGATCGATCTTTGAAATGTGGATTAAGGAAGCTATGGAAAAAAGAAGTACAAGTACATGATATTGTTATGTGTCAGGACTTTGAAACAATAGCCAAATGTGATTTTTGAAAGGAAAGAATACCAAGTAGAGCGAAAAATTGTAGGGGTAATATCACCATTTGTCGAAAATCTAGTGGTATGCTGCCACTCATGAACGGGTGTGGCATTTTTTCTTGAATTTTTATTGGATCTCCCCGTTTGCTCGTGCACGAATTGGGGTAAGCGTAAATAATTGAATTTTTGGGAAGTTGCATGTCCCATCTAATCTTTAGCGAAGAAGTAGTCAACTAATGGGACCACTAGGAGGAAGGGGAAGAACGGGTTGCGAAGTTTTTTGAATAAACTGCATGAGCTATAAAAATATGCAGGTGATTTGATTTTGCCGTAAATGATTGGAATTTATTGAGATTATCTTAAAATAGTAGCCTTGCAGAGAAACATCTGCGGGGTCTCGAAAGTTTGGGATAAACACGCCAAAAAATTTTACGGACTGCATAAACACCTTGTCCCTTCACTCGAATATCTCTCACCCTCCTCCCTCCCTTAAAAATATCTCGGACCGTCGTTGGTCTTCTTGAGGCCAGTCATCGCACGCTGAGATTGGGCGCTAGTGCGGGCATTGTCGGCGTCTCTCCTTCTAAGCGCTCTTCAATTCCTATGGCTGTTGCCTCATCTGATCAAGAACTATCTCACTCGGACACAACGGCGTCCAGTCTTTGCGAGTTTGACTAGCTTATATGTATTAGCCTCCGAATCTAGTCATTATAAAATAAGATCTTGAACAAGTAAGGAATCAAGGCAAGTTCATTTCACTCATCTTGATCAAAGGGAAGTTTGCACTGCAACACGAGCTAAAAAGAAGAGAGATGGCTGTTCAAGTAGTGTTTTCATGTTTTGATGAAAAACTGCAATTTTGCCGAAACAACGAAGATTACGTGAGTGCTGAGAAAATACTTTGGAGTAGTTTCTCATCTTTAGTGTGCAAAAGTCCCTTGCCCTTCAGAGCAAAACATACCCTTCGACGTCTTGCTTGGAGCAAGTCGTTTTTATCCTAGGGCTACACTTATTGCCCATTGTGCTATTTATCACAAGAGAACAGTTGTGGGCGGGATATATCGATGGCAGCACAGTCTATGATACTGCATTACATAGGCCATTCATAACCCCTTGCTGATGCCACAGTGAACTTCACTGTTGGCATTTCATACGAATTATTCTCTCATCGATTCTAACGAAAGCGAGCTCGCCATTTGCATTCTTCATCCCTTCATGGTCTGCGCTCAATACTCAATTTTTCATCTGCTTGCAAGAATGTGCACTTGCAAGTGAAATGTTGCCCCATTTCCGTTCATAAAAAGGGAGCGGCCATTGTCCATTAGTTATTTTTAGCGCAAAATCGATATTTGCAACTCAAATAATGTTAGGTTAGCGCACGCTTTGAGTTTTAGGGTCAGAATGTGGGGGCAGCGCCTCGGGATCAAGAAAATAGTTAAAAGGGGCAGGCTAAAAGCTAACTGCGCCAATGATTATTTAGTGTATCACCACAAACCATTTAGATTATCTTTGTTAGCATTATAGTTTTTTTTAATTGAAATAGACATATCTGCAATATCAATTTCACCCACCAAACTTTGATTAGTTTGCAAACGCATAATTTACCTTTTCAAACGTCAAAATATAACACATGCCACAATTTGTGCAACTGCACAGTTTCACCTTCGTATACGTTAAACTATAAACACAAAATCAATCTTTACATCTTATGTCTTTCATTCTAGGCTATTTTGCAACTCCTCATAGATTAAGAGACGAGGACCAACTGCATTGATTCATGTGTGGTCTAATTATTCTTTGCGAACTTCTCCTTGGCGCTAACTTTCATTCGAAAAGCACGCGCCATAATTAATTCACTTGATCTGCTTGATCCACTTCACCCACTTGGTTACTGGTTGAGCCAGATGAACTTACCAAAAAACGCGTGTCCACTTGATCCACTTCGATATCGGTCAGTTCAGTGATTTGACCAACAGCGAAAAGATCAAGCGGATCAAGAGGATCAAGTATGGGGCGTGCCGAGCGGAAAACTTGTGCAGTTGCACAAAACGTTCCAAATATACGCCAACTGGGGTCTCGTCCTCAGAGCTTCGGACCGTGCGAGCGCACTGCCAAGGTCAGTCGAGCGCGCGCCGGATTTTCGGGTGGCCCGGCGATTGGGGCGCGCTCGCACGGCGTGTAGGGCGCGCTCGCTTGGCGGTGGGTGGCCGCACACACGGCACCAAAAATTTTGAATACTTGTTCTGAAGCATTTTTCATTGCTTATTTATGTGTAGTGGTAGGTAGTGTGCCAACAATGACTTTGAATATTTATTTCTGCATTCACAAGAACATCATAACATTATAACAATAAGGACATTATGACATATTATGACAACCTCAAAGCATTACTATAACAACATTATAACATTACATTATAACAAGTGAGCATAACCTAGGAGACATAGCGAAAATTACAAAGTATATTGAGGGACTGTGTTCTTTTTATCTGAACAGACAATCAATCGCACGGTTGCTAGACGCCGTATACAAGAACGGCACGCGAGTTAGACAAAATACAAATTGACTTGCATACTAAATCCGAAGCAGTACTGTTGGAGAATTTTCTCGATATATGTGCGAGATGAATGTGATGTTAAATCAGTTCAGTCTGCGGCTTCTACTTGAATTCTGTGACCAGTGCTATGCAAGGACATTGGTTCATTCTTCCTCGGAGCCTAAAAACGCATTTATACGCAAAGAAAAGAAACTAGCATTGAACAAATACCTTTAGTTGGCTCATTTTTTGTCTCTGCATCTTGCTGGAAATACTTTATCACAATGTACAAGGATTTTAGAAGGCCATACCTGTTGTGCCAGATTCAACTAAACATCCGAGCTAATCAATATTGAAGCGTCCATTTGGATAGCCATCAGGTCACCACACTTGAGGAAGGAAGGATGTCACACATCGTTATGTTAACAGACTGAATCACTGAAATGGTCAGTAAAGTTGAAACATCGGATGAGAAATCATTGGATGTTATGTACAAGAAACAAAGGCAAACATAACAAAAGGTCACATTTGGCACGATTTCAGTGAGAAGAAACTCCCATAAGAAACTTCAACACGGTAAAACACTAAAAAAGACCGAAAAGAAGAACTGCGATCCACATACCGTGCTTATTTTTTCAAAAACAGTACGTGAATGCCCGTCAACAGCGTTGTGTACGAGCTACCACAGAAAAGAATGGCTGACCTCTCGTATGACATGCGGCGCGCTCGCACGGAAGCTTGCTCCGCCTCTGCATTTGGGCTAGCCGCTCGCACGGAAGCCCCAAATTGCAGCGCGCTCGCACGAGGCAAAGCCCTGAGTCCCTATTTCTGCCGAAAGTGAGTGGATTGATGCTAGCAACACTCTTCGGAGGAGTAGAGCGAGATATGCATCTAGATCGATTTGTGCATCTGATATATTGTAATTTGATGGATGCAACCTTCAGAATTCATTCTTCACCGAAAGTGCAGAGAGCAGGCCAGCAGCAGGTAGGAAAAAACGTCGTAATAGTGCGCCCACAGCTGCATTTGTGCTCGTTATTCGTAGCCTTCGAGTGTATTAAATTGCAAAGCGCTTTTGCTCTTAGTCGAGAACCAGGCCAATTGTGCTCTTCTTTCACATCTTTGTGGATGTGTTTGGATGTAATAAAAAATTTTCCGTAACAAATTGGCCGAGGTTTCCATAGTTCATCAGAAACATCAATTCATCGAAAAAAAAAGCTTTTTTGGATCCAATATATTCGCGCTAGTTTGTTGTACTCCGCATGGGCGGTGCTATCTACTTTCGCCGAGAGAGCAAATAGCGAACACGAGGGTAACCCCCGTCAATCACACCTGCTAAGTTTCGCAAGTCACCAGATCTGTCGAAAGAAATGGCGCTGAAAAATTTGATGCTCAGTCTGTGAGATACCTTCCAGTGCGCTTTCATAACATGTTTCGGAGACACCACTGTCTGATTATATCGCCAAAATTTTCATTGTGAGCACCCAAGCACCTCGGGTAATTCTTTGCCATGATCTCTTGAGTATTAAGCAGCTTCTGAACTTTCATTGCCTCCACTTTCATAGCCCTTTTGACTTTATACGCTGTTCTGACGTTTTCCAATTTCAGGTACAACGATGTTGTCGCGAAGGCTCGGATCAAGTGCTCGACAACTTCGCAAGGTTTCCACGTACAGGTTATAAAATTTCCAATATTTTCGGCTCATTATCCCTTTAATACCCCACAATTTATTTATCTGCGTCTCGGAGTACTTTCTTCTGAGTATTTTTGTGTTTATGAATTGTGAATTATCCATAAGTCTATACTGACGATCCTAATTTTTTTTTTCAGTGGATTCACATCCGAGCAGTTCATGAAGCAGCCTGCTAATGAACCTATTTTGGAGTACAAAAAAGGAAGCAGCGAGCGAGCCGAACTCGAGAAGGAATTGGAACTGCTGAGCAAGGTTGGTAATTTTCTGCAACTCAAATAGCATATGCCGCAGGCAATGCACAAGCTCTGGCGGCGCGTTCAGTAGTCTATGCATCTTTCTAAATTTTCTTCCTGCGATTTGGATGTTCCGGTTCTTTGCGACACCTCGATTGCAGTAGTAAACGAAAAAAGCATCACAAATTTTAATAATTACAAAATAAATAAACACACTGCTGCAGTGGCTAATGTGACCCACTTTAGTGACAAACATATATGGTTCTATCTTTGAATTTAGGAGCCTACGATTGTACCTGTCCGAATTGGCAAGAAGAGTATCACGGGTAAACTGGATCGGAAGCAAGTTATGGTGGGTGATAATGTATCTTTGATTGTGATGTTACCATGTGTTTTCGTAACGGGGGATTCTAAGTGAAAACATCGCCTTGACCATGACTTATGGTGCTGTACACAAAAACCTGATTGATGCCGTCCTAGTCTGCGATATCAAATGATCTTCCATTTTGTCTGCGGAAGGTAATAAGAATGATCTGTATTATATTACTCTAAAAACGCAAAAATAGGTTTTATTTCCTACAGTTTTGGTCTTACTAAGCCAAGATCAAGTCAGGAGAATTCATGACAGTACCTTATTCGCGATTTTTAAAAGACTGTCGGTTTTTTTATTCGGTAAGAGGTCGTCGGTTGGTGGAAGATAAATGACGCTGAGGTTTATTCGTTGGCGTTGCAAAAAAAATTTGAGCAACTCGCCTGTAACCAAAAAATTCATTTTGATACGTGGCAAAATGGATTGTTAGCAATGCGCTAAAATACTTTTAATGAAACGTGTCATGTTGCTACAGTCAAATCGCTGTGCTCCGAATGCTGAGTGCAGTATGGGAGGAGATGTGTAGTGCAGATAAGAGTACAAGTCATTTTTCCGATCTTTGCGAGTGCAGCACATCTTTTTTTGCAATCTTGAGAATCTTCAGCGCAGAGCAGATAACGTGCCGATCTACTTGTCTTGTTTACTTTCGCGCGAGCACATAACTTTTTCGTATTCTTTGCTCTTCACCCTTGTTATAATGGAACATCTTATATATATATTTTTGATACTAGCGCCATTACGCCCTCTCAGTCATTCGATTAGTAAGATTTTGAAAGATCAAGCCTTCGGCCTCGGGATTCAATCGCCGCGATTTTTATTTGTTTTCATTTCACATTTAAAAATTTCCGGCTGGAAAAGTATCACAACCAAAATGCAAGCTGGTCGGCATACAATGAACTCGTAATACTTGTCTTGTCGCAATTGATCGCGACGATCATATCGCGTGAACTCTGCCCGGGGCCTTACAGAACATCCATAGTTATGTATCACAGGCTCAGATAAAGCTAGACTTTTTATTTCTATGTATATTTCTCATTCTGCAAGTGTTCTTTGGTGGCGTATCTATTACCCCTGCTTATTTTCTTTCGTAGCACTTGATCAAGCTTTTTTCAGCCATCCGATCATCAGACTATACTTGCTAAGTACACGTTCGCTACAGCTGAAGACATCAAGGAAGCTATCGAAGTGGGATTGGAAGCACGCAAGACATGGGAGACGAAACCTCTCAAGTAATTTGACTTGTTGGATTTTTTTGACAACAATTTTAACGTCTTGAAAGTCTAAAGCAGTCTTGAAACGAATGCAAATTGTCCAACCTTACATGACTAGAAACTGGCCAGAGTGGTAGAGGCTGTATAATTATATCGCTTTATGGCTTCTAAGGGCGATTTTTGACTTACAGTGATTCTTTAGGGAACGTGCCGACATTCTTCTTCATGCGGCAGACTTGTTAGCTGGAAAATACCGAATGAAATGTAATGCAGCCACAATGCTCGGTCAAGGAAAGAACATTCAGCAGGTATTTGTCCTCAGTTTGCTGATTTAAAACCGCAGGATCTCACTAATTCACGGACGAAAGGTCAGTAGATGCATGGACTAAGTCTACCGCAGTCTGTTGTGCAATTAGTCAATGCATCAGTGGACCACATGGACGTTTAAATTTACTCATAACTTTCAACTTGTCGTTTTCCAGGCCGAGATTGACTCTGCATGTGAACTCATTGACTTCTTCCGATTCAACTCGAAGTTTGCCTTGGACTTGGAAAAATATGAGCCGCTTAACACTAAGATCAGTACTAACAAAATGGTCTACAGGGGAATGGAAGTGAGTTGATTTGGTGAATCACTTAGCATTTTGGTGCAAATATAACAGTTTACAGGGATTTGTTGCAGCTGTTACTCCTTTCAACTTTACAGCCATTGGCGGTAACTTACCATCTGCACCAGCTTTAATGGTATGAACTGATATGCTTTCTCTTAGCTGCAAAGATTTTTTTAGGGAAATGTAGTCATGTGGAAACCGTCTAACACTGCCGTTCTTAGTAATTATTTTGTACATAAGCTGCTGGAAGAAGCTGGTTGGTGACGTCCTGCTTACGAGGTTGTCCACAGTTTTGACCGTTCTTGTTTAGGTATCCCTGAGGGAGTGATCTCTTACCTACCGTCAAACGGAGCTGTGTTTGGTGATGCAATCACGAGCAGTCCTCATTTTGCGTAAGAACAAGTAATTTCATGTGCTTTTGTAGCATTGTAATCGACAATTTGTAGGGCAATTAATTTCACCGGGTCAGTACCTACCTTCAAGAAAGTATGGCAGAATGTTGCTAAGAATCTGGACAAATATGTCACATTCCCAAAACTTATTGGAGGTGAACTTTCAATCATAAGGAACCTTGAGAAACATGAATCAAACATTTACTTTTAGAATGTGGTGGAAAGAACTTCCACTTCGTGCATCCTTCTGCAAATGCTGATGTTGTGGCAGCAGGTACTAAAATTTTACTCTTAGGGACTCGTCATACTTCGCCGAGAAAAGCCCAAAAGCGCCCAAAAAAACCAAAAGCGCTCAAAAAAGCCCGAAAGCGCCACCAGAAAGAGCCGCAACACAGGAACGAACTTTTGGTAAAATCTGACATAATTTCGATGTGCAGACGAGAGAAAATGAACCAAAAAGGCTCGGCTGCGTCATAAACACACATGCCTTAGCGCCAAAACGTGCGCGCGGAAGGAGGTGTTCCGTCTCTTTCTGGCGCTCTTGTTCTTTTTCGGGCTTTTTTGAGCGCTTTTGGGCTTTTTTCGGCGGTTTTAAGCTAATTTCAGCGAAATATGACGGATCCCTTAAAATTGGTCAGTATTTCGAAGCACCTGTGATTGTAGGCACCGTACGTTCTGCATGGGAATACGGTGGTCAGAAATGCTCAGCATGCTCGCGATTGTATGTGCCAAAGAGCCGATGGGATGAGATCTTCCAAAAAATCAAGGATATCCATAGCAAGGTCAAAGTGGGCGATGTGAGTGCACTTTCTTTCTTCTCCATATAACAACTTGTTGCATAGTACAGTGAATATGGTCTCAGGTCCGCGATGGCTCAATATTCTTGTCCGCCGTGATTGACAAACCCTCATTTGACAACATCAAGAGCTATATCGGTACGATTATCTGTCATATGGCTCGTATCTTGTACTTCAGTGACAGAATTTTACATGAATACTAGGTCTTTTAGATTATGCAAAGACTGGCGCAGATGGAGCAAAGATACTTCTTGGTGGAAATTGCGACGATAGCAAAGGATATTTTATTGATCCTACTCTAATCACTGTCACTAACACGAACAGCAAACTAATTCAAGAAGTAGGGCAATTTTCAAATGTTTCTGTTTCAAATAAAGCTGGAGCATTGCTTGTAGGAAATCTTTGGACCTGTACTCACAGTTTATGTTTACGAAGATTCAAAAATAGAGGAAGTTCTGGCCTCTGTAAAGGTGAACTCATTTTTCTCATATTCGTACTTGTACTTTTCTGTTATCAATTGTGAAATTTTCAGGATCATACTCCATTTGGATTGACCGGTGCCATATTCTCCGAGGATAAGAAGTTCTTATATCAGTAAGTTACCATAATGTACAGGTCTGGTGCGCTATCCGCTATCCGACACCTTGAATTCATTCTGAAAAAGCGGCCAAGTTTACGGTTGCAGTGCTTGCTTTTGTTCCTGATTTTGCGAATAATTAACCTTGGCATTTTGCCCTGGACTGCAATATTTTCCGAATTTTTTCATCCTTCTAAATTTGGTCAGAACGGTCAAATTTCAGTGCACGTGATGTGCTCCGCGATGCAGTTGGAAATATGTACCTCAACGATAAATCCACAGGGTCTGTTGTTGGACAACAACCATTCGGTGGAGCGCGAATGTCCGGTAAGAGAGGTTTTCGCCTTTATAGTTTCATCATAGCCTTCTCACGTCTAAATTTACAAGCTTAGAGGGTTTTTTTTTTTGAAATTATGCCCTTGCTGATTGTAGGAACCAATGACAAAGCCGGTGGACCTCACTATGGAGTCAGATGGACGTCGCCACTTTGCATCAAAGAGACGAATGTACCGCTCACCGAGTGGCGTTACCCACACATGGATTAATTTCTTCTACAAATCAGTAGAGCATATTAGTAGTTGCATAGGAGCTTAGCTCTCACCATAGAAAACTGGTAACCACTTCATTAGCATAATTCATACTAAACCCATAGGCATTGTTTTACTTGTTTTGTTCTTTTCTTTATGTCCTCAGGAATGTGCAAGCTCCTTCTAAAGCTTAGAACAGATACAAAATCTTGTAGTGCGTACTGCTGGATCACGCATTGTTATTGTTACTCGTCACCATGACTCATTTTTGAAATGTTGGCAAGTTTTATTGAAGAGAGGTATAAAGAATTTCTGAACGGTCTTCCTTTTTGTGAGCAGCTGCGGTCACATACCATTTACATTTGACTAAAATCGAGTGTGGTTTTTATAAATGCAGCCGTGCTTTGCAGAGCATGGGTTACGCTGATGGAAAGGACTGGACCAATGTTTCGTTCGAAAGTGAGTGATTGGCGTTGTCAGACTATTATTTATACAACAAAAAAAGTATGTGTCTAACATGCAGTCGATGAGGAAAGTGTTTGCATCTCAATATCAGTGAATCTCTACATTGTTGAAAGAGCGGAATAGACTTTGATGTTTCACTTACTCCGCAGGCACGATAAAAGGTTGGCTGTTTTGCAAAATCAGCATTACCGCTGAATTTGCGCAGCAAAACAATCAGAAAAACACATAGGCTCATTAGCTTCTTTTCACCTTTTCGGGTTATATTTCAGTCATATAGATGAAGGGGCTTTAAAGAGCAATTGCTTTGAAGTTGTTAGATGGTCTCGCAAGTAATACTGCATCGTTTTTGATAGTTGATCTGTAATTAGAGGGTCTGGTTAACAAGTGCAATACATATTTTTTGAGAAAACGACGCAAAATCGCCCGATTCATACATCGTCGAGCTGGCCATATCTCGCTTCAGATTGGATGAATTCTTAATCCAAGAGCATCGTCTCAGCTCGCCACGGCGCGTCTTCTTCATCTATTCGTTGTGCTCACTGAACGACGACCTACCGTAAGCGAAAAACTGAAATGACTTGTGGAATCTAGCCTCCTACTGTGTCCAGACAGGCACTTCCATGTATCAGGAGATGCGCCACGCTGAGCTGAGTTGAATGGTACCGTTGAATAAAGAATTCGTCCACTCCGAAGCGAGAGTGGCCACGCTGCGGTGATGTCACATGAACCAAGCGACTTGGAGTCGCTTTCTCAAAAAATGAGCGGTAGTGTATGTCCCCCAATTTCGATTCTACTACTCGTTATCGTATCTGATTTCAATGCTTTTTCCTTTATGTTAGGTTGGTCCGAAAGTTCTGTCCCACCATTTTCAAAAAATCATAACTTCCTCCTATCATGGTGTTTCTGCATGGCTAAAACTTATTGAAAAGAGCAACTCATGCGCTTCTTAAATCTATCTTGGATGCTATCTACTAAACTCGGAATGCGGAGATAAAATTGAAAAAAGGAAATCATTTCAAGTGCGGAATTTTTAAGCAAGCCCGTTAAAAAATTCAAAACCGTGCCATAGAATCCAAAACAACCAGTATCTTAGGTCTTCTGATCCTCTCTTTCCATATGAGCAAAGTTCGCGCTGATCGGGCCCTTCTTAGAAATATTATGATTTTCGAGAAAAAATGCTAAAAAATCAGTTCCTTAAGAAAATTGATTTTCTGGCATTTTTTTCAAAAAATCATAACGTCCAAAGGAACGGCTCGATCAGCGCGAATTTTGCTCACATAAAAAGAGGGGACCAGAAAAGCTAGGATACTGGTTGCTTTGGATTTTATGGCACGGTTTTGGATTATTTAACGGACCTGCTTAAAAATTCCGAACCTGAAGTGATTTCCTTTTCCCAATTTTATCTCTGCAATGCGAGCTTGTTAGTTAGCAGCCAAAATAGATTTAGAAAGTGCATGAATTGCTCTTTCCAAAAGGTTTTTATTAATGCGAAATTGCTGCGTTAGGAAGAAGTTGTGATTTTTTGAAAATGGTGGGACAGAACTTTCGGACCAACCTAATATATTGTTCCGCACTGCTTCCTATAAGTGCCGCCACATAGCAAAACATAATTCTTGATGCTTGGTTCCAACTCGTCGAAGTCAGAAAATTCTGCTGCTGCTTCACGTCTGGGAAGTCCCCAGGAACACAGACCTCTCGTATGTGACGGACCTCGCATAATAAAATGAATCGAAAAAAAAATCATTTGGAGCCCCTGAATATACTATTATCGACTCCCAAAAGTATAGCGGGCCGGGCATTGCAGACGTTCGATGACATATCGTCCACTCCACGATTGCTGCTACCCTTGCTCTGCGTCTTGACCTGCGGCGCGCATGCCTAAAATGGGCTCCTTGCAACAACATATTTGCAACGTGATTGACATTCTGGCTGCTACTTTTACCGCCGACATGTTGCTGCATGTTGCAATATTTGATAATGCGCGCTGCAAGTCAAAACAACCAGTACCCAGCAGAGCAGGGTGTCAGCAGCATAAGGGACAATACACCGTAAAATTTCCGGCTAGAGGGTATGAAAAGTAATGCTTCAATAAGGTTCAACAATGCTCAACGTCAAATGTCTGCAAAAATCCTCCCGCCACTCTTCTGGGGGTCGACTATACTTGTATGAAATGCTAGCCTTTTTCCGTATGGTATGGTTCGAAGAGAAAAGACTTTTTTATACGTTCTAGCTGGACGGCGGCAGCTTCGTGAATGGCGTGAGACTAATGCCAGACGAAGTGAAGAGGTCGTAGAGCTATGGGAGCATGTTGTTAGCCGTTCACCATCGTCTCTTGGTGATGAATTGTGGATAGTTTATGAACAGGTAAGTTAATCAAAATTTATGGTTTGCTTTCTAATGGATCTTCTCTGTCCTTCTAATGAGCATTTATGATGATTAGAGTGCATGGTCAGCCGTTTAGAGCAAGATTGCGGTGAGGTTTTTTGCAGGTCTGTGTTGCTGCTTTGGACTGTGCTCGTTTGGATCTCGCAGGTGAATGCATCTCAGCTTTAAATCATCGTTTTCCTCGGAGTAATCGAGTACTCAGGCTGCAGGCCATGCATCATGAAGCAGCTGACCAGTACGTTTCTTCAAGTTTTTACCGTAATTTTTAATCCCTTTCTCTTGTTTATGCCTTATAGGGGCTTTCAATCTGTGTGTCACGGATGACGTGGTTCAGGTCCTCGTGAACCGCGTCGCTTGAGTCTCTCACGTGGTACGATACCGCACCCGGTACCGCAGCCTTAGCGGATGCGGTATTGTACACATGAAAGGCTCAAGCGAGGCGGTTCGCGAGAACCTGAACCATGTCGACTGTGACACTCAGATTGAAAGCCCCTGTACATCTAGATTTGATACTGCGCTGGCCCTATATGAAAGGCTTATCGAGGAAGATCCAACCAACAACGTGGGCTTGCTAGTTGTTAATCTTGTCTCTGCACTTCTATGGTTTTTGTTTCAGTCATTTCGTAAACGGAAGGTAGCTGTTTTGTTAGCGCAAGGAATGAGATTGGAAGCTATACGTGAACTCAATGACTACCTCAAGGTCTTTGTTATCTTTGCCTCATTTCACCTTTCAATTCCATTTCGCGTTTTAGATATTTCTAAATGATTCGGAAGCTTGGCTTCAACTTAGCGAATTATTCCTAGTCGAAAGCGATTTTGCCAAAGCTGCGCATTGCTTGGAAGAATGTGTACTTGCTGCGGTAAGGATTTCTCTAACATTTATCATTGTTTCTGAAATGTTTTGCATTGGTTGTGATTTTAAGCCCCTAAATACGCTGTACTTGCGGCGACTGGCTGACATACGTTATACTCAAGGAGGTCAAGAAAACATAGAACTAGCTCGTGCTTATTATGAACAGGCAGCCAAACTTAATCCTGCTGATCTGCGTGCTCTGTATGGCATCGTCCTGGTCAGTTGTAGTTTATAATTTGTTTTATTGGTTTTTCATCGTCAAGATAGCTGTATGAATCTTTTTAGTGCACTAACTATCTGGCAAATCATATGAAAGGCTCTGGCGGCGATAGGAAGAGAGAGCTGATAACTGCTGGTGGAAACGCCATTGATAGGATTCTGATGAAATACGAAGAGGTTGGTTTTTTCTGAAGTTTATTTTTTTACGTAAATCTGTCGCTTTAGATTGTCTTGATCTTGTGCATGTTTTAATCGCTTTGCATTAGTACTTCGTCTCCCTTTCCAAGGCATGCCCGCAGCTTTAGAGCATAATGAATTTGGAAATCGAGAGAAATTTTGTGTATGTAGATTTATTCATCTTGTTGGACCCTTCATCCACTTTATGGGTAGTGCACCTAGCGCTGTCCATTCTATGCATTTGCAAAAAATAAAGCGAGAATTTGCTTTTGAGTAGCTTCACGCTATTTTATTTCTATCTCTTTTTTACAGATTGAAGGTTGCGAAGAGAATCCGAACATTACTCTCGTAATGGATGCTGTGAAGCAAATGAGGACCCAGCTATCTACCTCCAAATAAATCACAATTATGTAGCTTTTACCGTGCCCTTATGTCTTGGGCCCTAGCTTGATCTACATTTGACAGCTAGTCATTTCTCATAAGAAAATATCATCAGTTGTGGTTGTGTGTGTTCTAAATTAATTATTCTACCGAAAAGTCGAGAGCTTGAGTTCGATTAATTGTTCTAGGGATGAATTATTACCGATTGTTTATTATGAATTTCTAGACACTATCGACTAGTTGAGATCTATTTGCGTAGAGCCAATTTCCATCATCTTAATGTCATGATCCCAATCTTTTGTCGATTTTTAGCCTATTTGTGTCTAGTGATTTTTCTTGCTTTCTCAATTAATCATTTTCTTTTGTGATGTCGTCATTTGATATTCATCGCCGTAAATTCTTCCAAATATTCGTAGCATTCGTTCGAATTGCACTCCAAAAGCAAACAAAACAACGTTTGGACTGCACTCTCGGCGTCTTACCTTTCAGATGAAGCGTAGTGAAATTACAAGGATGTGAATATAACATCAACAGAAAGGTTTATGGAAATAGAAAATGCTTTAGAATGTTTGAACATCAATGAGAATGAAACACGCACTGATTAGCGAAGTATTTGGTGGACGGTTACTCTCAAAAACTGCACTGAGAAGAAGGCATTGTTAGTCGTCCAGAAAATTCGTTCGCACCGTTTTCAAAAGTTTATTAATTCTGATTTTTCCGACCATTTTAGAGCGCTTTTTATGAAGATATCTTAGCTGCTCATTAGCGGTCATCTGTTGCATAGACGGAGTGGTAGAAGAAAATTACTCAAACTTTGTTTCTGTGTAGGGTCATAAGAAATCTGAAACTTGCTTATAAACTGGAAGTCACTTTTATAGGTTCTACCACTTGCTCTTTTTTAAGCGAAGTTTGTGCTGATTGAACATTTCTGTGGAAAGTTATGATTTTCAAGCTAGTGTAAAGGGCCGGTCATACTTGACGCGATTTCAGTCGCGACGCGATTTGGCAATATTCCAACTGTCCATAACTCACTGTAAGCACATTTTAAATGTAGAGAAGATAAGGTATTTTATTAATCCGCGTAAGTTATACATACTATGCATGTGCAGTCTGCTAATGTTGGAGCTGAAGACTTCTGGCAAATTGCCAAATCGCTCTCGACTGAAATCGCGTGAAGTATGCCCGGCCTTTTAGATATCTGCACGGATTTGCACGGATCGATGATATTTGCACGGATTTGCATGGATTGATGCAGTGTCGCTGTTATGCTCGGATGGCTCGCATGCAGTGTCGTTGTTCTGCTATTCTGTTCTGCAACTCTCAACAAATTTGCAGAAGGGCACTATGAGTGCACTGAAATCCTAATATAGCTGTTGATATATCCGATGCTGTGTTTGTGTGTGACAATATTGTATTGTTTTGCTTTGCTGTTAGAGGGCTTAATGAGCTTTCCGTTTGTATAAATACGCTGGCCGTTGTGGCCAGTTTGGATCGGACATGGACGGCATCATCAAGTGTTTTGTCTCCCCCACTCTTTATATTCTGCTGTTGTAAGTACCCTAAAATCCCGCATATAAGTCCGGGAAAAATCGCCTAAAATCACCTTAAAAGGCGGTTTTAGGCGATTTTAGGCGATTTTTTTCCCGGACTTATATGCGGGATTTTAGGGGTAAGTCAATAGCGTGAGAGTTTCTTCTTTTCTTTTTATGTAGATTTTCTGTTAGTAGTAATAAATTTTGTATGATCTAATCTAGCCTGTGGAAGTATCTCCGTTGATTAACTCCGCTCTTTTGTTCCGGACTCGCTAGTCCAGGCTGTCTATGCCGGAGTTAATTACAGGGCTTTTCAACATAAGAGTCACAGCCTTCGCTTGCGCGGCTCCTCCAGCGCGACCGCCTCGCTCAGGCCGCGCGCGGCGTTTGCGGCGCATCGCCCGGGCTTTTGCCAAGCTTCAGTCGACGCGCAGCCAGCGCCACGAACGCTGCGCGGACCTAAGCGTGGCGGCCGAGCGGGCCGGCTGTGACACTCAGGTTGTAAAGCCCTATACACTAGTAATACATACATAAAGACAAATTTGATTCATTTTGGCATTTTTCTTGAAAATCATAACTTTTCATAGAATGTTCAATCACCACAAACTTTGCACAGTTAGAAAGGACAGAACCTATAATAGTGACTGCTTTGAGTTTTTATTGCAAGTTTCAGAATTTTTATGACCTTACACAGAACATAACACACAACACCTTACACCTTACATTCTATGAAAATGTATGATTTTCAAGAAAAATGCCAAATTAAATCAAATTGTCTTTATGTATGTATTACTAGCTCGAAAATCATAACTTTCTACAGAAATGTTCAATCAGCACAAACTTCGTATAAAAAAAAGAGCAGGTGGTAGAACCTATAAAAGTGATTCCAATTTATAAGCAAGTTTCAGATTTCTTATTACACAGAAACAAAGTTTGAGTAATTTTCTTCTACCGCTCCTATCTATGCAAAAGATGACCACCAGTACGCAGCTAAGATACCATTATAAAAAGCACAATTAACTATTTAATAGAAATAAAAGCTCGGAAATAGAGTGGAAAGATCAGAAGTTATGAATTCTTGGTGCGAACGAACTTTTGGGACGAGCTAATACTTCCATCTCTTCGGATCAAAGGGTGTTCAACCCCCTCCTCCGCTTGTAAACAAAAGCTGAAGAAAATGCTTTTATGTCAAAATCCGAGGTTCTTCATCTCCTAGTTACGGAGTCAGTTCTGATAACTTTTTTCTTGTGGCCCCTAAGGTTCAAAATTTGACAAAATTCACCAAGAATAAAAATCCTTCGAATTTGTGGACGCTCACCCGTTAAATATAATATTCTAAAAATTCTCATCCATGAAAAGTGGAAGTTCCAGACTGGGAAAGGTGCGAAAAAGCTATAAACCAACTACAGAAACCGATAACGGTACAGACTGTCTGGTACGCGGGCCAACGGCCAAACAAATGCAAACAACAAACAAAAGGGTTCTAATGTGTACCTGGTAGTTCACGTAGGTTGATTCTCCGAGTTTTTGACGCCTTTGTCAGCCATGACAGGTATACGACGAGGTAGCAGTTTTGCCGGCTCCGTTAAGGTATGTCTTTTATTTTGGGAATAGATAGATACTTATTTCTCAATCACTTCAAATCACATCAGCATTCGAATTTTCTTCGAAGCATGCACTTCTAAAATTCGTTTATGCCAATATATAAATCATTTATTTTTCTTTATTAAGTTTATTTATCTTAGTGAATGTGTAAGTTGTAACTCACTACAATCTGCCAGCCACTTATCATATCTAATTTTGCCCGCTTAATTTATTCATCTGTTCAATTATATATCCATGACGATGTACTCATTTTTACATATCCTCACATTCACTTACGACATTTTGCTCATTGACTCCTTCAATCATTCAATCATTCACTTTATTCATTGGCAAATCGCCGTTATAGCGTGAAACGAAAATAATTTCTGATTTTTTATTCGCCCTTTCTATTAGGTCGTTCCATAAGTTCGTAGCCTTTTCATTCTCGTCCTCGTTTCTGGAGGGGGCGATTGCTTTGCAAATGTGGAATATTAAAACCAAAAAGAAGTATTTTCGATATCTGCTCATTTTTTCATACAAAAAAATGTTTCTGCATGGATTTTTCTCGCTGATCATTAAAAATGACAAGGGGGCAGAAGGTTGCGCGGAAAAGCGAAAAATACATTATGGGCTGGATTTTGATAAAACTCTGTCATTTCGTGCTTTATAAAAACGCCACGAACTTATGGAACGACCTAATATCTATTTCTACATATTATTTATACTTACATGTAATGAATTGGCCATTCACTCACTTGTTCAGCATTAGATACGACGGTTCTACATGATATAATGTGTTTGTATATTTCAGTTGCCTGAAAATGTTCGCAAGGTGGGGACCGCAGTCCATTTTGAGAGCAATGAACTGGACGAAATCAGAAAGAAGATTCAGGCAACGTAAGCGTTCCTACATTTTTTCAAAATTTGACAACAAGCTTATTGGAACGGTATGCAGTAAAAGATCTCTCATCTCAAATAGATTCCTGAACGGAACGTTATAGAGCATTTACGACATATTTCTCGAAAAACTGGATGATACTGTAATACATAAATAAATCTCAAAAATAAAGTATGACCATCACATTGTGCAAAATTTCAGAAAACGTCATCATTCTCTTTTGATCTCTCATGCCATATCGACATTGTTCCATTTGATATCGTCAATTCTACTCTACCTCTCTTGGCATTCAGCCAATTTGACTTGCGGAGAGACGTCGGTCTTTCTAACCAATTTACAAGGTAAATCTTCATTGCTGTGGATTTTTTGTGATTAGTCAAGAATTTATGTGTGACTGAAACTAATTTCACAAACAATTTCTATCTTGTAGTGTAGAAAACTAAAGCTAGAAATTTTTTTTCCAGTTAGACATGGGTTCTGATTTTTCTAGTCATAGATATCTATTTTTTCGAGTTTTGCCATCAAAATCTGAAATAAATTGACTGCTAGTGATTAGTCATGCATTATCGATTGATTCAAGCATTTTGATCTATTTTCTTTTTTATTTACAGTCGTACTCGTTGCTATCTACGGAGTCACTACCATTATCAAGATACTAATTTTGATCAAGCATTTCTTGCATATACGAATCGCCGCCAAGTACATCACAGTGATAACCACAATGTAAGTTCCTTCAAAAACTAAATATCATTGCAGTGTATCATGAAAAATTTGTTCAGCATAGCAGGAAAGCAATTTATACTAGCTATAATTTCTGAAGTATTTCTGGAAGCTTCAACTATGGTACCGAGTAGTGGATGCTCTGAAATTAGAGGAACGGTAAGTAATGTTTTTGTCAAAAATATTACCAACGTTTAACAAAAACTCTAGAGTGCTAAATTCTATTTTTTAGCTACCCGTGATAGCATGTCGAATATTCTACCTTCTTTCGATAGTGATCAATGCATTCTTTTTCGCCATGTCAGCGAAAATGCATCCTGCTGAGAATTAGGTTTCCTGTATTCACGTTTTTGTACATCCTTAGGCTTCATTTTTAGACTTCTGTACATATTCTTTGTCGATTTTTATAATAAAATATGTCTGTGAAAAACTATCTAAAAATTTTTTCACAAGTTTCCACAAAATAATTATATTATTGGTGCTATACATACTCGAGGTCAAGCGGTGAGCGATGTAACAGAGACTCTCAATGAAAACTGTAGATAAACATCGAGGTGAAAAATTCACATAATGTCTGTACCGAAACATCAGCTTTTGTAGAAAAGGCTCATTCTTCGGTGTTATATGCACATTTATAAGTTCAAAATTCTTGGGTGGTTCCCCTCTTTTACCTGAATGAATTCAACTTCAACCTGCTTTTCTCTCACTCGAATCAAACATAAAACAAATTCTCTGAAGGCGTAACGTTGATACCCTGAATGTGAAAATAAATCACTATATATACGGACTATCAAAAACTAATTTTCTTTTGCTCTAGTAGAGCAGTTCCTCTCTGCTCTACTAGAGCAAAAGAATTATATTTATTATTATTTATATTTTTCTCTATTTAAGTGCTTTGAAAGAATGGTATATCATCGCAGTGATTGCTGAAAAGATTGCACCATATGCTGTTAATTTCTTGGTTATGATCGCCATTGGCACCTAAATAGACCCCGTATGGGGTCAGCGAACTTTGATTACGATACGCATATTTGGTGATTACTGCCGAGAAGGATGCGATCGCACCAAGGTCGGTGTGATATGTTCAACCCCCGAATCACCCACCCGCACTTGATAATTCTTCTCTGTGAAAAAGATTGTACTTTGGTCTGCCATCTACGTGAATTGTGTAACTATAGTTTAGTTGATCAAGTTTTTCACTCATCACCTTGCTCTTTATTTTCCTTTCAAGATTTGCAATCAGCAAATCGACATCCCACCTTTTTTTCACAGTATCCGAAGAAGTGCATTCATGAGCGAATCAAACAGTAAAGAGTCAAAAAGAAATTGTGACAAAGTCTCCCCTAAATATCCTTCTATGAGTTCTTTACGACGCTTGCTTTCATGCCAAAATGCTGCAAGTATTAGGTTGAATCGATACTATTATCGCATTGATTTTAAAACATTCGTAAGTAGTCTCTCTCTCTAAACGTACTTGCATAAAAAAATTTCGTTTGAGCTTGCTAAGCGTCGACCAAGATATCAGCCACACTTTATTCACGGCCAACGTTTCGGCGGGATCGCCTTCGTCAGAGCCTATATTGGCGTACGAGCCCGACCTCCTAGCGCGCAAAACTTTGGAAGCGTTCTGGATCAACACCAAGAATCCAAAGATGAACCGGAAGGAAGAGTGCATAGCCATCACCAATGAACTGGCGCCATATCAATACCTCTGTGGGTTTTGATATGAGGTCAGGTCACCCGAGCACTATAAATAGGGGAGGAGGTATAGTGTGAGTATATGGTGGTCTAACACATCATCACACGTTATCGAAGGTGAGTCTTGGTTACCCGATCTCCCTTTGCCTTTGCCTCTCTCCAATTTGACTTTCGTCTTGAGCTGAGATCTTGGCGTCTAGGAGAATGTTTCACTTATGTTTTCGACTTTCTAGGCTCTGACGAAGGCGATCCCGCCGAAACGTTGGCCGTGAATAAAGTGTGGCTGATATCTTGGTCGACGCTTAGCAAGCTCAAACGATTATCAACTGTTGATGCCAAGATTAATAAACAACCGAAGTTGGACAATAATAAAAAAATTTCATCATAAAAACAAATTCATCTTTTTCCTAGAATGTCCTCGTGGCTCTTCAACGATGAGGGACTCCAGAGGTAAAAACTTGGAAGAACCACTCCCTCTGACTCCCGATTTTCGAAGAAAAATGTCAAAATTATGGAACGCTGCAGGAAAATTTATAAACATGTCTCTTACGGTTTGCGTGAGCTGCTCTTCTTACAAAGAAAGGATACTTGGTGACCGTGGCTCTTTGCAATGGGATGTATACCAGTAGATGCGCCTTAAAACGCTGATTTTAAATCTGTGTCCATTAGATGCTGAGCGACTCTCTGAATAAAGTTATGGACTTTTTTCCATATCATTTTCACGAGATCTAGGCAGTCTGAATCATCTGTATTCAGGCTTTCTAGACTCTGATTTATCGGAGACTGTTTTTCTGAGCTTATAAAGCTTTATTTTATTTGGGCGCTTATTTGTAGTGCGCAATGAACATCCTAACGATATTGGTGATTTCTGTCATCAAAACAGTACAAATTTTGGTGGCAAGAAATGTTCATAACTTCTTGCGGAAGAGCGCACAGCAGATACCGAAAGCAGATTTGGAATCAGCGCCTCAGGATGCATTTGATGGTATGCGCCTCAATCCAAAACGTTGACTAGGTACTTCCCTTGTTAGAAATGTCAAGTTTGTTCCGATCGAGCTTTTCTTTTAAAAGTTATGATTTTCGTGATGCAGAAAACGGCAAAAATAAGGTTTGCTATAGAATTACGGTATTTTTGATGTAACTAATCACGCTCAGTGGTCCCCATACTACATCAACCTCTTCCTACATCTCTTCTTTTAGAAATTTGAAATCAAATTTTTTTCCAGCAAGGCATTTATCAAAGGCTGAAATTATTTTCTCGAATTCTTTTGGCATCCTTCGAAAGCTTTGAAAATGAGAATGGGCCAACATGTCCATGTGCGCATTCAATATCTTGATATCGCCCACGCAGCGGTAAAAAAAAGCAGAAGTGGCACAAAAGACCTATAAGCATTGAGTATTGGATTTTTCCAATGTCCTCTAGTTTTCTCCTCAAGAACTCGTTTAGATACTTCAGCAAAGGGATAAGGGAGCAAACTGCAGTCCGCTTTAGGGACCAAAAAACTGCAGTTTCAACTTGTTCCATCGTATAGCGGATGGTCTCGTCTCTCACACCGCGACGTCTAGACACACTACTATGTTGCAATAGTAAAGAAAACATTAGGAGAGAAGACTTTGCTGCAAATGTTTCCAGCTAGACGATGTGATTTGACGTGCTGAGAGTCAGCATCAAATCAAATGGTTGATTTTTGGTGCGCAGTACTTGGGAAGAAGTTGTAAGAAGTTGAATTTTATTATGTCTCGTCTAGTGACAAATAATCCTAGACTCCCTTATAAAATGGAGAGTCAGAGATCATAGATGATGATACTCTTCTGTCTTTTCTCCGCACTATACGCACGACTAAACTGTGAAACTGTGATTAGATCAGCATGCATTTGAATATGGTGGTGATCGCCGGAATCAACCAAAAACGGTAATTACCGGACTAGACTAATAAGGGCATATCTTGTCTAGTGCCATTACTAGTTTGTATGCAGCCAGACAGTCTAGAGTTTTTTTAGAGTTGTCAAGGTAATTTATGATGCGTTGAAGTTGACATTAGATTATCACCAACTATCCTTTAACTCTCCATACCTTAACACTTTCTTAAATTTATACATGGTCATTACGAAGGAAATTAACGCTTTTTTATTTTGTAAAATAATAATTCAGAATTCATGTGCTATCTAGTATAACTGGTTTTTTTATTCTGTGTGCAAGGAAAAATTGGTGTTTGTAAGGTTCGCAGTTTGTACCAAATATCAACAATTTCTTTCCAGACACTAACGATTGCACTTGCTTCTATCAAAACTTTCCTACAAAAGCCTTTATTTTTAGCTAATTTCATTTGCTCATGAATCTATGATTTTTACGCCCTCAGAACTTGCCCAGTTTTTTTTTTGTTTACGCGGGATAATTCATCTTGTCACTTTTGAAAAACGCAAATGGGAAGCGACAAACACGGTGTTTTCTGTGGCCTTTAATGTCATTGTTCGGAAAAATTTTCTCGTTAAAAAAACTGGTCACATTATTCAAACTTGCAGCGAGAGTGGATGGCATATAAATAGAACGGATGGCACTGTAGGTGCTCGATCAAACCTCAATCGTTGCTTTTTAAGTTTCATCTGCTGGTGCCTTCATTTGAAAAAATTTTCTATCGAAGAAATATCTTTAGGACCGTCAACGCTAAATAGACGTCATCACTTCGTATTTCACATTTTACTGCAGTTGTGAACCCATATAAGCATTTTCATCCTTTTGCGGATCTGTGCTGTTTTTTTACAGAGGTGAAAATATTTTATAGAACTTCAACTCCTACTTGCAGATTATTCACCGTGACCAACCGTAATGCTTATCAGAACTGTACCTCCCAACGTCAAAAGTAAGCTCTAATTCATATTTTCAATAATATTTCTGTAATTGTTGAAACTCACATAACAGTTCCTTTTTTTAATCATCCTGAAAAAGGAGTGAAAATGTTTCCTGAAAAATTAGGACTATATTTCAGGCCTCTTTCCGAAAGAAAATCTCGACTTTGCTGAGAGTATTACTGAGGATGAGGGGAAGCTATTAAGAGAGGTGAGGTGCATTTAGAGTTATTTTGAGCAAAACGTTTGTGGACGTTATCATCTGTTACAATTGCATATTTCTTTCTCTTCTTCAGTAAGTCTAATCAGTTCATCAATAAGTTGCAATCGTTAACCAGAGGCATTTTAATAATAATAGTAGATGATGTTCATAATAATATTGTAAGTTAAGAACTCCGTTTCTTTCCTATCCTTGGACGGAGTATTGTGTTGTTTCTAGGCCATCCCGGAACTCTTCAGTAAGGAAGGATGGCGAAAGTTAAAATCAACTCATATTCAAGTCGTCTTTGCAGTAAAAATGGCTTTTGAAAAAGAAAATGAGAGTGATATTGTTAGTTGCTAAGGGAAGGATAACAACTTGAGTTGGCTAATAGATTACGAGATGTGTATCGTCGTCTCCCCGGCGTACGTTGGGCGGAGCTTTTGCGGAAATTTCAACACGTTGGTGAACTTGTCAACCTCTACTTCGAAGCATGGTTCTTTGTACTCTCTAACCTGCCACGTTTATATGCTGTTGTCACACGTGGCAGGATTGGTATCGAGAGATCACAAAAAACAAGCCTCATAGTAGAGGGTTAACAAGTTCACCAACGTGTTGAAATGTCCGCAAAAACTCCGCCCAACGTACAACGGGGAAACGACGATATGTACAAGTCTTTAGGACTGATTCCAAATCTGCTTTCCTTTTTTTTTCTATAGAACAGGTCTCCGAAAGAGCATTCGAAAGTCCGAATATATCAATCTTCGAGAGGCATAAGATTTACGAAAAACTACAAAAACACCCATGCGACTTCCACTGGTGCTTCCTCCTCAAAGTCATTGTTATCAACTCAAAATTGATTATCCACTTTCAAATATTTTTATGAAGCTTGTAGCTAACTTCACGCCATTCAAGGCTTGGCAAAATTGTCTTTCAAACGCTCAGAACTCCTTTTGAAGAGTTGTTCCGCAAAGAATAAGAGCAGATTTGAAATCAGTGTTTAAAGACGAGTCTAGTGATATACATCTCGTCTTCAATTCTATCTGAATTAGTATCCTTCCATTCACATTTCGCAGCATTCTGCAATTACTTCGGCACAGGAATTTGCTAAAATTTATTTGTTTTCATTCTCAAGGAGGTATCGCCATATGTAGCGTCTTGAAATCTATCCTGATTTTTATAATTGATCAGGTGTATCCCTATATAAACACATGAGCGCGAATGCGAGATATCAGGAGATTTTTCCAGAAAGGTACTATGTGATAATGTTGAGGAAATAAAAAAAGGGTCTATCAATCTAGTGGAAGCAAAATTCTGCTACTTAATCGTCTTTGATCGAGTATTCCATATCTGCTGATCGCTTGACAGATTTTACAGGCTGAGTCTCCTAGTTCATTCCCGAGTGCGCGTTCAACTCCGTTCGTTTAAGACTAGCTGGCGTTTGTTTTGCTGTTTCTTCCTTTTTGTTACACCTTTGAGTGTATAAGCAAAGTAAAGTAAAGTAAAGTAAAGCATGAGTACGAGAAGTGAAACGCGTTCTTTACACTGATAGGCAGTTACTACGAAACTTGGCGAGAATACAAAAAAAAGAGTATAATTGAAAAACTTTTAGTTAGATTGACTAGCCTCATACCAACACGATTTCCTTTAGGTCTTCAACAAACACGATTCATTTGAAGAGATTGGTGAAATGATCGAAGCTGTTTGGCAACAGAATCCCGAACTTGCCGGTAGGATGCGAAAAGTACTTGACGGAAATATTGCAAGACTAAAAGGACTGAGCCCAGAAGCTGTCGACTACAGCAAGAGGGTACTACTAACTTTTTTTGAGCTCACCCGAACATTTACGGTTTTTAATCCTTACTTTTCAGATAGTAGCGTTCGTAACCCATGTGATGAGTTCGTTGTCCCTTGGTAAGGATTACTGCCTTGAAACTGCTGAACGACTTCATAAAGAGTTTCAGGTAAGAGATTGAACCCGACTAGAAATTATCGAAATGCTTTGCGAACTTATATGGCAGCATGAATATCTATATTATCCAGCACGGTTGACCGAGAAGAGGAAGGGGAAGGGAAGAAAAGGGGAAAAGGGTTGCAATCTTGAAGAAAACCGAGTTTCAAAACTGTGCAAGTGACTCTTTTTTCGAAATAATTGAAAGTGTTGTTCTTCTTGAGAAATGAGTTGTATATATGGGGAAAATAAACTGCGTGCTACACTAAGCTCTTTTTCCTAAATCATTTTTTACAGACCCTGTCTCAGGAAGATCAAGAAGCATTGAGAAGGGCAAATCCAGATGTACATTTTTGAGCCCTGATTCCATTGTTATTTTTGCTTTATCAGGTATCGCTACATATATTAGAGAATAAAGATGTTTTTTTTAGTTGCTTTGTTTGGATAATGAATTGAGTCATTGTTCTTACTGACTGATAGAAAGTCCAGAAGGGAGATGCGTAAGCGCGAGCGCTGGGGCTATGTTAGTTTTTCTGAAAACTAATCCGTTAGCTTTGCGTAAATCACAATTTGCTCTACGTGGTTCTTTTAGATAAGGAACATAGATCTGAACATAGAGTGCGAAAAAAATAATGAAATTTGCAACGGGGGTGGTCTAGCGGTAAGTCCCGGTAGAACCTGATCGACGGAGAAACACGGGTTTGAGTACAAGAAATTATCCTTATGGCACAAACTTAACAACAACAGGAACCATAACAACGGGTATAGCTATGTACAACACCGCTCTATTACCCGATTTAGCTCTCTCAGCAGAGATCTTGGCCGGTAGTAATCTACCCTACCTGGTGGCATCATAGATGCCGGCAAGTTAGCACACATCGCGGGAAGATGCCAACTCCGCCGGCAGCTCCTAAACTGCCAACAAGCAGAGCGCCGCAAAACATAGGAATCGCGCGCCCTCGAACTTGCATGCATTGACCTCGAACGCCGGCGCACTAACCGATCGACCACACGCACGCTGTGTGTGGTGGCGAAGCGAGCGATAAAGGAATGCTTGGATTTGCCGGGCCGCCGCAAAACATGCGCACCACGCGCGTTCGAACTTGTATGCACCAACTTGGAACTCCGGCGCACTAACCGGTCGACTACACGCACATGCTCTGCACATAGAAAACACCGCTGGGATATGTTTGAATTTCCGAATCCTGTGCTTGAACATGATCGATGCCACTAGTGGTATACTTTGGACTTCGAAGTATCCTGTCCAAGACGACCTCGCTCTTTTTCTCTTGTTTTCATTGCTTGTTTCATTAGATTCTTGAATAAATTCTTCTCTTCTTCAGATTCGTCTCTTAAAAACACTATCGCAAACTGCATTAACATGGCCTCAGAGTAATAACAAGTTTAATATTCAGACATGCTTCCTAATCTTATGTATGCCGCACCGAGCAGGAGGCACCGAAACATCCGCTACGGATGACTCCATCCTCTTCGCCTCTTCACCTCGAATCAAGGGCTGATTCTGAGGAAGTTCCGGATGAGAGAAGTTCATTTGCGACGACTGTGCGACCTGCTCAAGCCTTTAATGGCCCAGGAGAGCATCGACAATTGGAGCGTGGACGTTGAGAACAAGGTTAGTTGTTTGCGCATCAATAAGTACTGTTATTGAAGCAGCATAAAGAGATATACAATGCATGTGCGCATGTCCGTGTTGCACTACAATCTTTCGATTGCGTTTTCCACATATTCATTCTCATAGTTGGAAATGGCCTAGTGGCTAAGCAGTCGGCAGTTCAAGCCAGACATCGAGGGTTCGAATCCTGTTTAGGGTCATGATTTTGCGTTCACAATATAGAGAACATGGTGCAGGGCCAAATCATAAAAGCAATGATAGGGAGGGTGCAAAGCGGTCTAGAAGAGTTAGTGGTGTTGGAAAGTTAACGTTCTTAAAAAAACTAGCTGATCAACCGTTTGCAGGTAATCATCGCCCTACGCTACTTCGCCACGAATGCCCATCAAGCCGTCCCGGCAGACACGATTGGTGTCTGCCAAAAGACGGTGTCGAATGCCGTGGGGGATGTGGTGAAGGCGCTGAACAACCCGGCAATAGTGCAGAAGTTCATTCCATGCCATCTCAACGACGAGCGCTATTGCCGGAGGAAGGCCGATGGCTTCGCACGATTGGGAAGGCTGCCGAACATCGTGGGAGCCATCGACGGCACACTTGTACCCATCCTGAGGCCGGCCAACTCAGGATGGGAATACTATTGCCGTAAAGGATTCTGCGCCATCAACATCCTAGCCGTTGTCGACGCCCGCGGTAGATTCATCTACATAAACAGTAACTATCCAGGTTCTGTTCATGATGCTACCGTGTACAGATATAGCCGTCTACATGATGCATTCGCAGAAGGAGCTGTTCCGGAGGGTTATTGCCTGATCGGGGATTCAGGCTTCTCAAATAGTAATGAGATCCTCACCCCGTACAGGAACCCTCAAGACCGGGCACAACGCCGATTTAACAGGACCCACAAAAAGATGAGGGTTGTTGTCGAGTGTGTGTTCGGGAAGTGGAAGGGCTGCTTCAGGATATTGCAAACGAAAATGCACTTGCATCCAGAGAAGGCGGCAAAAAACATAATGGCTTGTGCTATCCTTCACAACATTATGCTCTCGATGAGATGTCGTTCCATGCGACATCCTGGTATGAGGATTGCGCACATACCGCATCCCAGCAATGGGGCGGCGAATATTAGGGAGGAACTAACCCGTTTATTGATTTAGAATGTTGTTGCTGTTGTTGCTGTTGTTGCTGTTATTCTTGTTCTTGTTGTTTATTATTGTGAAATTACAATGCAATAAATTGTAACAATTTGAAATCACCTGTGTGCAAGTTGCAGTAGACAAAACAGGGATAAAGTTTGTGTCAGGTGCATGCCAGCTCTGTGCCAGCTCCGGTGTCGTGCCTATTGCGTTTGGGGCATTTCTAGCTCCGCCCCAAACCTCGTGCCAGCTCCGGCGTCTTGTTTCTTGCGTTTTGTGTAGCCGTGCCAGCTTCGCGCCAGCCCTGTGCCAGCTCCGGCGCGAAGTTTATTGCGTTTGGGGGCAGTGCCAGCTGCCAGTGCTCTTATATATGGATCTGTGGAAAGGGATTCTAGTTTCTGATTATAATCCCACCAAAATTGCAAATAACTCCTTGTAGGGAAGTTTGCGCGGCTTTACATGCGACATGCGAAAACGCGATTTTGGACGGGGGGGGGACGTTGCTGCCTTAGGCTGCGTTCATACTGATTACGAAATCCGAGAACGGTTTCAGCACAGTGCTCGAACTAAGCGTTATGCTGGGGCTGTTCCCGAATTTCGGAATCAGTATGAACGCAGCTTTACAGTCGGGCATCTCAATCCATGAAAGCGAACCGGCGATAATGTACCCGCATAAAAATTATCAGCAGGCCTTGAAGTCACACATAAGCCCCCCAGGGGACACTTTCGCAATGATTCTAATGATTCCATCAAAATTATTTTGCAATGCAAAAGCGCGAGAACAGTACAGGATTGTTGCCAGAGATATGCTGAACAGAACGATGTTTGTTTTGTGGGAGAAGTTTGGATCTGGAAGAAGCTGTGCTCGTTCCAATCCGATGGCACGGAAACTAAAATACTTTCAGTATGACCTAATAATACAAGTGTAGGTGTTGTACATATTATCAGTTATGCCAATTTATTTTGTTTATTATATCATCAGTGCAAGTAGTAAAAACTTGACTAAAAATAGCATCGATGTTCTTAAAGACTAACGAACAGTAAATATAACGAATGAAACCATAATTATATAACATTATGATAGCAGGGACTCCTCGATGTTGTCATCGACTTTCGTTCGTTGTTGTTTCTGTGGGGGGCCGGATGTTTGCACGTTGGTGTTGATTTGTATTCGATCCACCAGAGCGTCGACCTTGTTCAGAATTGCATATTTTTCCAAGTACATGCGCTTGGCCTGCAAACATAGTTTAGTAAGAAAGTCGCAAAGACGAACTTTAAACTTACTCTTATATATTTTGTCTGCTCTTCTAACAATTCTTGTTGCGCGTTAGAGCGATGAGAACGCTTCCGGGGGATTTCATCGGCAGTATCGCTCTCGCTATCGCTTTCAAACTGTAAAACGTCTTGAAGATTCGTAGCGGCTGGTGATCGACTCACAGTTGACAACTGCTTCAAGAACTCCTTTTCCTGCGATCCACTGAATTCCGCGCTACTTTCAGAAGGAGGTGGCGCCTGAAACTCTTCGTTTACGTGCAGCCTCAAAAGGAGAGTTTCTACTTACACATACTGCGCTTTCGGCGACCCGGAGGCCGCCGAAGCGGGCCGTCTGCCTCCGTCATGCTCGCCATTCCTTTCGTCAACGCGTGTTCAAGTGCGATATTGACCCCGCCCCCGGTAGCAGATCTGTACCTATAAAGAAGTTATGTGGTTGGGTAAGATGCGGGTAAAAATTCATATTACTTTTTTTCTTTCATTAAGAGATCCCGGACGTTCCCCCTCTTCGCACGCCAACATCTTTTGATCGACTCAATGCTCATTTCTTTGTCACACTTCTCAAAAACGATTCTTCGTATCTCCTTCCAAGCCTGTGTCCTTTTGTGATTACAGTTGAGTTCCCTATTGCCGGATCTGTCCCATAGGAGATTTCTCCTTTTTAACACTTCCTCGACTATGACATCCTGATGGTCCGGGGCCATGACGAAACAACAGTTTTGCCTTTCGGCGTCCAACAAGACTCTAAAGAATTAGTTTGAAACTGTGTACACCGGATTGGGCAGGGTTTACTAGGTATTGATATCGAAAATCACAACGATTGTTCCACTACTAATCAAATCCTTCATTCTGATTCAGAATTTGGGTTAGTGACAGGGTTTTTGGTTCGAAAACACCAAATGCGTGAGTGATACAGTGATAAAAAAAGTGAAGGCAGCTATGGACAAGAGGATTTCGGGATTTCATTAAGCGGAAGTGAGCCCCCTCGCAATAACAATCTTTAACTGGAGAAGCCTAGCTACGTCTGTTGCATAAATCCTCTGCACATGAAAACCCATGTACTAGCAATCACAATATGAATAAAATCAAAAGCGGCAAAATATAGAATAACTTCCGAATACAAAAACAAAAAAGGAAAAACAAAAACAAACCCGCTCAAAGCCTTCCAGATGTCAATTTCTCCTCCAGAAAGAATCGAGTAAGAGCAATTCGTGGATGTCTTCATACAATGCTTTGCCAACTATAATGAGATATATTTGATCACCTCATCTAATCATGAACATCGTTTAAGATAACACTAGTTTCACCGTTGCCGTTGAACTTTTGAATAGCCACGAAACGTCAAATATGGCGATGTTTTCATAGTGAATCATAAAAGAGATATAAGAAGATTAAAGAAGTAAACTCACGGCTCTCAAACGAATATTTATCGTAGTCGCGACCCTGTGACACCTTCGAAAACGTCAAGATCATAATGCGAATGAATCTGACTAATATATGACTGCCTCCTGAATTAACGAAATACTTTTTAGAGAGACAACAATCTCAGAGAGTCTTAGCCAAAAGACAGCAATCATACCTTGATTAAACACAGGGAAAATGAACAAAAAATGCTTACCTCTCGAAAAAGTGACGACTGAGTGCTTGATAGTGTCAAATCACAGAAACTTTATGTGCGGCGCCAGTTGCTAGGCCCAAAGTAGAAGATGATGGCGATGGTGAATTCGGAATAGATAGTGAGGCTTTTTCCTGAAACCAAAGCAGCATATGATGGTACCCGTTGAATTTCTCTTTCTCAGTATAGCTCTCCAACTGGTTGCAAGAGAGATCGTCTCTAATTCCTAACTTCACGGGCGACATAGAAGTTTGAGAAGGCTGTTTGAAGATATCAACTGCTTCTTTCCAAAACTTTTGAAATCGGAGAAGTAAGATTCTAGAAATAACTATTACGACTAACAAGTATAACTTAATCGTTCCATTTCATTGCAAAAAACGTTTCTGGGACTGTAAATTAACGGTATAAATTTGCTTTTAAGCGCTCAGAAGAGCTTTTAAGCGCTAGAAAGCGCTCAGAAGCGCTTTTTAACGCTCAAAAGCGCTAAAAAGCGCTCAACGGAGCTCAAAAGCGCCCAAAGGTGCTCAAAAGCGCTCAGAAGCGCTCTAAAAAGCTCAAAAGCGAGCGGAGACTGGCCGGGGCAAAAACATATACCAAGACAGAAACCTTTAAGGAGGAAATTCGAAAAACCTCTGACGAGTTATACCAATTTTGCAAGGAATGAAATACTAGATCGAAGTGAGTGTAGTTTTGCTCCAAATTTCGTACATACCTCAACAATAACATTATGCAAGATTTTCAATTTCTAAAATCAAAAGAAAGTGGCGGAATTCACAGAAAAAACAAGCAAGAAGAGATTTTGCAGCAATCATCACCTTTTCATTGCGACTACTTTCCAAGAAACGATTTGCATTCGATTGGAAGAAACGTAATGCACCATCAAATTCATAAACGACAAAGAGAATGACTCCAGTGTTCCTTTAAATCGAAGATATGTTGCAAACATAAGTCGTAATAGAAAAAAAGCGGACTTACATCACTTTAAGCCATCAACGGATGATTTTCTCCATGTGCAAATAGCAACAAATATCGAGCACGATAGAAAAGTATAATTGCTACACGAATATAGGTTTGAGAAAGCAAAGTGGGCAAGGTTAATCTGAACAAGCAGTGCTGCTCCTGATGCTTGCACCATTGGGATTATAATACCCACATATTCAATGGTAGTATATGCATGGTCAATCCTGTGCAACGCTCACTCATAAGCGCTGGACGATGCTCGTGAGGGCAGATTCGGCTGAATCGCCAAATATATAGGAAAGGGGCGAGCAAGGAGTCGAAGAGCTTGAGCGAGCTCGCTGGCATAACTCCATAGACGGAAGTCATCAAATTAACCTAAATATGCAAAAATGCCATCAAAAACATCTTCAAAGAAATTTCCAAATCAAGCAGAGAAACTCAAACAAAAAAATGGAGAAATAGTCCCTTAGTCGCAACCTTACGAGAAGAAATAATGAAATCTTTTCTTGAAAGCTTTTCCAGATCCTCTCCAGAAGCATGTTTTACAGTATTAGAGAAACAATCGGGATTGCACCTAATGTCAAATGTGTATGGGCGCAATGAATGCACAGCTTCAGCTGCCTAAATCAGTCATCTAGTCGTAGAATCAAAGAAAAAACGTCAAATTACCTTTGACAACGCTTCTTTTGTGATGTTGCAACTGGTGAGCGGATCACGTCTCTATCGCCATCTCAAAAGGGGTGAGGGGGGGGGGGGTGGCCCTGGGAGGCCCAAGCCTCTCAGGCCTCCTGAAATCAACCATTTGAAACGAACTGCAAGCATCAAACACGAAATGAGCAGCAGAAATGAAGAGGAAACGAGAGCTTTTCATGAAAATCCCAATATTCCGCGAAGTGATTGAAGGCGGCATTCTAGCGGCGTCGCCCGCAAGGCTGCACAACCCACTTTCACAAACGCAGTCGCACCTCGACGTGGTAGGGGCACGTCGAGATGCCGGCAGCTCCCTCTCTCAAAAGAGCACGCTATTTCCCGTGCTCTCTGACCTGCCGGCAGCTGCCATCTCGCGGATTTCGGTGAGCTGCCGGCAGGTTGCCGGCAACTGACCTCGCGAAGTTGCCGGCAGCTCCTCCTGCGATTCCAGATATTTTACTCAAGGAGGAGTTCTGGAGCCGCAGACTTTTATGAAGTTTTCTACAGAGTCGAGGCGGCATCTTTATCGAGAAAATTTTTTGGAAAAAGGCCTAGGACGGCCTACATTTGGGGTCTCTCTTTCTGGCCACCTCACGAAAAAGGTGCCAGCGAGCTGCCAACCGACCTGCCGCCAGGTCGGGGGGATTACTACCGGCCCTTATGTTAGGGGAAAGTCCGCCTCTCTTTGACGGCTCGTTTAAACTCCCGAAAGCGTTCCCTTTACGCTCTGACTGATCCACCCTGTTCACCGGTATTTATAGCCTGTTGAGAGGTCAAATCGGCCTCTCTTTCCCCGCCAGTAAAGATTGGTACATCGGTGATCCGCGCCTTCCAACAGATTTACATTATATTGTCTGCTTCAACGATATTTTGTCCTCGCAGTGCACCACAGAATTGCGCCACCAATCACAATATTCAGAGACTGTAATTAAGCGGAAAGGAGGAAGTTGGATTGTTCAAGGAACTCTTTAAAATTCAAGTAAAAAGTCGAATAGCAAAGTGGGAGAGGGAACAATCATGACCTTTATATTAGGTTGTTAACTAAGTTTTGCAACTGATTTTATAACTTTTCTCTTTGTGCATATGACGCACTCAGCTTTTCCCATCATGCAGGTCGCAACGTTAGCTACAAGCGCAACCATAGTTCTGAAAATTCTCACGTCCAGTGAGGGGCACGGTTGGTATTAGGTTGATGCAAATATGATGGCCGCTGCATATGCTACCAAAGCATTTGGATACAAGAATATACGAATGAGGTACCATTCGATAGAATGAAGCAAGCTCTACAATTTGGCTTCCAAGAATCTACCTACATATTAGGTCTACGTAAAGTTTGATGCCAAAATCTGTGAGCATTTGGCCAGCTCAAAACTCGGATCTTCGCTCGGAGAAGACCTACAAGTCTCTCAGTTGGTCATCACATAATAGACACATAGTAAGGTTCCTTCATGCACTTGCTGTGATTTTTTTGTCGCTTAGAATTTGAGAAAAAACGAAAGTCAAAAGTCTGCAAACTCCGCCTCTAACTCCGCCCCTTTCCTCCACCTATTGTGTACCACAAAGCCTCCGAAGCATGGCTGTGAAATTTCAGCCTGGTATCTGCATTGATATTTGGAAAAATCACTTTTAGCTTCAAGAACCCGTAGTCCACGGCCATTATTTTTGCGTCAACTAATATATGCTCAAGGGGGGAAATTCGTGGATTATTACAAATTTGGCTGAAACTTTGTGTAGCTTTGTTATCTAACACGCTGATTGCGAAAACGATATTGCTTTCGCATGGTGGGGGCTTTTTTGCAAGGTTAAAGTGATTTTACGGTACGGGCTTTCAGGCTAAACAAAAAAAAACTGGCGTTAATTTTATGGATGAATATGATATTCGTATTCGGGAGGGCAAATAACCCCACCATGCAAAGTTTTGGCGAATTCTGAGATTTCGACTCGGCGCTTGTTTCCAAGCAGCTTTGCGTACAGCGGCTCGTTCAACTTTGTGAGGACGCCAAATCTGGAGTTGTCTCTTCGAGTTCCATTTTTTCCTCAAGGCGCTGATGACTCGACCAGTCGCAAATGCACACTTTCGGATTGTTGTGCATCTAGGTTGACAACGGCTTCATTTTGACTCAAAACTCCATGAAATCTCAAATTCCACCCGCTTTCGAAAAACTCAAATTTTTTTCTATTTTTGCATAAGAAAGCGAGTTCGGCCACTTCATAGCTCACACAGCAGTTTATACAATTTCAAAATTTGAGGGCAGTATCAAGTAGGGAAAAGTTACGGACTCTCAGTTGCAAAACTTACAAGGGAAACGTACAGTCGAAGTGGCCTTCTCAGATGAGACCCATACTGCTTTGGAGAATATTGCACAGTGATTCCAAATCTGCCTGCATTATCTGCCAAGCGCCTCTGGACCCCGAGTTATGGGCGTTTATCGGGTCAAA